GAAAGAGAGAGCTAGGATACGAGTAACGAGCCACTCACGACTTTTCATTTTGACACAATAGCCAGCTAATCGTCCATTATCATCGGCACATACGTGTTTCATTCAATAATTTGCGCACGGCGCATCTTAATGATGTTATTCGTGGAGATTCTTGTAAATTTTACGACCGAGAGAGAGAGAGAGAGAGAGAGGTTGATACATGAGTCGTTATAATCGAGCTTGAGAGGGCGCTGCGGCTGCAGTCACCACACACATTCGCACAAACGCAACGCACTCCGTAAACGATGAATCTGCGTACATGAGTTGATCAATTATTATGAGAGGCAATCGATTATATAAATTTAATATTAATTCAACTTTAACACTAGAGCTCGATGCATTTAATAACATTGAAGTTCTGTACTTAGGTTATTATCCCGTTTAAAGCCTGCAGTTGAAATCTCATTAAGATGAGAACTCGCTTATCACATCGAGGCTTGCCCAAAGAGATTGCGCCGCACAACACAGTCTTTTTCTTTTCAACATCGAAAACTGTATAAGCAGTATGAGCGCAAAATCTTATCTCCCTCGCAAAAGGTGTTTTATATATATGTACCAAAAAAAGCAAATGCTGCAACACGTTGAGGGAGATAACGTTAATGATACAAGGAATGCGAGATTATGAGCATGATTTGACGAGTGAACGAGAGAACTTGAATGAGATTTATCAAAGCGATTATGGGTTTTTTTTATTCCTCTCATCGAACGTACAGCAACGCGGATGATCGTACGATAATACTTTACGCAACTATTTTTGCAGTTGGAGTAACTTAACCCGAGACAACGACGAAACCATATCTTATTACGCGTGGCTCATCGCAGTGATCGATGGGAATTAAAAGTATAGCATTAATTCGTCGTTGTAGCATTTTTCTTATTTTTTTTCTCGTTATAATTGAACTAATTCCATTCATAAATTGTTATCGATTATTCTCTCATCCATTTTTAATGTGAAAATTCAATTGGACAATTTTCAGAAATTTAAAATTAAAATCACCTTTTTTTTGCCATTATGCAACCTCTCCACATTTTGCATATTTTCGAGTCAAAGTTAACAATACATAAAAGTACGATTCTTTAAAAAATTTATTTTTTAACGACTTAAATACCGAGGCTCTTTAGTAAAGCTTATACCTTTCGCACTAACAATGGAAAAGAAACTCGTTTGTTATCTTTCTCGGAGAATAAAATTACAATCTTTTCTTTGAGGATTAATGTTTCTTTGCGCACATACTTGCCATATTTTTAGTGCGCCGCAATAATATTGTCTAGAAAAAAAATCTATATAAAAAAAAAAATAAAGACGAAAAAAAAACATTTTTTTACGAACTTTTGTATATTAGATAAGAACGGACAGGCCGTCAGCGTGAAGCTCTCTCTCATTCACTCTCCTCGCCCGTATGTTTTCAGAACGGCTAGTATTACGCGGCCGGACTTCCATAGGATACATTAGCACCGAGGGAAGAGGTGTATTTCCAAAGTGACACGCGCATATATATATTCTTCATCGCAAACAGGACGGCAGCAGCCGCTCTCTTTAGCAATAAACTAAAAAATGTTGTTGAAAATGACGTGGCACGCTCGGCTAAAGATTAATCGAAATTTTCGTGGAAAATTGCCACGTGTACGTACGTATACGTACGTAGGTAGCCCTGGCTGTTTAATTATGAATTTACATGGATGCTGGATCAATTAGCGGGCATTGCGAAAATAAGTGTAGCAGGAAAGAGCGGAAAATAGCTGTCATGGAGAGACACGCGCGTAAAGGCTCCAGGGGATTAGTTATTCGCGTATCATTGGATTATTCAACGTTTAATTTTCCATCAACAGTCTGGATTTAATAAATCATTATAAGGATGGCCAAGTTTTATTCGCTAGGGCCGACAATAATGATATCCAAAATTTATGAGAACATTGAATTCTTTTGCATATTTCATTATCATTCTGTATGCAATGAGTAAATTAAATACTTTTAGCTATGAATGGGTCCTTCAATATAAAATGAAGTCTTTGATTATTAGCGAAATTAGCATTGTGAGTGTATACTTGATCAGTAAATAGGTACTATGTAGCAGATGTTAATCATAAATATAATTGTTAAAGCTGAGTCGAGGAACAAAAACAGGAGAATATGTGGAACGATATGACATATGTTTTTTTCATTTCGTTGCCATTTCAATCACGTAAGTCACATAGTCCGCGCAGTTTGTATAAAGTGTAGAAAAATAAAATTTGCATAATTCCTCGCGAATGACGTCAGATGCTTTTTAACCTACATTTTATCACAAGGATCTAAAAAAACTCGTTACAATCATTTTGTATTCCAATCAACAGTTATTTCTCCTCGGTGAGCATTGAAAACGCGGATAGATTATCCGAAAAAATTTACCCTCGCGCTTGCTTTTGAATAATGGCATATATAAAGCGAGCCACAACTGCGAGAAGTTGTGTAGTGCTTATTGCAATGCTCTTGAGAAAAATGTTGTACGCAGCGGCTTGTGCAAGGGCCGTAAGCTCCTTTCTCCCATATGACTAGGGTGCCACATCTATCATTTGAGCGTATCCTGCATGAGAATGACTAGTACCGAGAAACGGTAGTTACAAGAAAAGATTTAAGACTTAAGTCATTACTTATTTCTCTTTTTAAAAGCAAACGTGTAAAATTTGGAAAACTCGAATTGCAATTGCGCATTTCAAGTCGATAATAGCCAGTAATTGTCATATATCGCAACTTAGTTGTGGTTCTAGCAGCAACGGAAAATTCCATTGGAATTTAGCTCGTCAGACACATGGTCGATGACCCCCATAATTTCTTTTCGCTACATGTAGATTAGGATTGATCAAATGGGAATCGACAGTGCATAGGAAAAGAAAATTCATTTGCAAAGCGTATGTGGGATCGTCATGTGACGCGCAGGCGACATTTTGCAGCTTTAATGTGGTAATAATCAACGTGGCTTGCTCCGCATTGGGCGGCTTATGGTGAGCGAAGATAGTGCTGTTATGGTGATTATTATGATGTGTATATATAATGTATATAGACGGTATGCATGCGAGTGGTATATATACACGAGAGTCCTATGATTTATTGGCCTGAATGGACTAAAATAATTTCGCGATATCACAAAATTCAAACGTGGGACGTGGGCAGTATCACGCACATACCATTACTATATAGTAAGTATACACACACACGCAACACCAAACGCACATTGGCGCAGCAACAGCAGCAGCTTACATATGTTCCAAATGCGTGTGCTGCGATTAGTATATAGGCGCGCGCGGGAAAGGTGACCTTTCGTCGTCGTCGTGTGTGTATGTAAATGTTTATCCTTGGCGAAATCATGAACTTGGAAAATGAATTTTTCGACATACTTGAAAATATTATTAACTTTTATACCTCGGCTCGGTTAATTGTCTTTGAGCTTTTGTATAATTAAAAGGCATCATTGAAATTTTTTATTGCTGCAATTCAGCGGGCGGCCTCTGAAAATTATAATTATTTACATGTATAAAATAAGCCGTTGTCCGCAGACATGGCTTTTCTAATCAGAGCCCGGTTGGCCTTGTATTTTTTAAGTACTACTACTTTCTGGCTCTGTCGTGGTGGCTATTATTTTATTTACATTGAAATGCGGCTTGTCTATCGTACCCAGCCAACTCTGTGGTTATCAAATACAATTTCTGCGCTTGCAGTGTAATTTACTCGTACACGTATGTATGAGGAATTCACAGTTATATTACGAAATTATTTATTTTTAAGGTAATTCGTTTTTCGTGAAACTCGTTTTTTTGGGTGCCAGCTTAACGCAAAACTACATTTCAAAGGCCAACTAATTAAATGTGCACGTTGGCATCGATCAAATTGCTTCGAGCTCGTGATCCGACGGATGTACACGTTGATTTTTCAATTTTACTCCTGTCCTCTTCTATTTCGACGAAGCAAATAGACATTTCGTATTTTTTTTAAGAAACATTGTTCGATCGTGTTGGATCAATACGAGCTGGAAATTTTTCCACTCGAAAATTTAGCATGAATTTGACATTAAGGCGTTTTATAGAAACATCGAGACTTTATAGTCGTAGAGAACTGTAGATAATACAAAATGTGCCGAGTTCTGCGAATGGAAATAAATATTTATCATCGCGGTAGTCTGAATTTCAGCAGGAAAATACCAAACTGATGCATTGAAGCAATTATTGACAATATAATAGTTCCTTCGGATTCTGCAGAGTTGCAAGATGTTATTTGCACTTGAAACAAGAAAAGTTCATCACTTCGTTACAGCTATTGGCAAAAAGTACGCAACAAATGCTTCGTAAGGCATTAATGTACTTGCTGATAACATGAGAACAAAACCCACCAAAAAAAAAAGTTTACGATCTCGTGTTGCAATCGTTCTTTGATATTTGTTGTCAATAAACAAGCCATGCCGCTTGGTTTGTGCCATTTTTAAATGACAACGGCGAGATCAATGACAAAAACAACGAAATAAAAAGAAATGAATCAAAAAACACTTGCAGCAAGTGTTGATCGTTCTAGTTGCACGAATGCGTTACAGTAGTTTTAGCAGTGTGAATCAAACAATAGACGTGATAAAAAAACGCGATAAACGCGTGGTCATGTGCGACCTTAGTCGTGGGTTTCTCCTGTAGAATCAAAAAGTCCCAAAGGAAAATTTTTCAAAACAGAGTCATTGTTTTAGTAACTTTAGAACCTAGTCAATGTGTACCACTGACTGATTCATCTCAGATCTCGAGATAACACGTATGTACAATCTAGAATCAGACTGGTGCTGTAGGTAGGAATTTCAAAAATGTATACGCTGCAGGCTCGAGCGCGTACTCAATTTTCCCAAACTTTTTCCTCGGTAAAAAAGCACCGCTCTCGACTCTCCATAAATTGACTACTTGGCATGTACTTTCTACTAGAGCATCGTCAAGATGTTGCATAGACTCACCTTTTGGTGGCATCGAGCAGCGCACCCTGAAACGTCTTGCCGTTTCTCAGGTAACTGACCACGAGGATGTCGGGCAGTACCGAGTCGACTTGCACCAGGATCTTGTGACCTGGCGCCAGATCGTCGACGTCATCCTTTTTGGCAGGCTGCTGTGTGCTGATGGTATCGTCGGTGACGGCTGCTGCTGCTGCTGCTGCTGCCATCCCTGACGTAAGGACGACAGCTCTCCGCTGCTGCAGCTCGACTCAACTCTTTGCCCGGCTTGTTACGAGAAGCACAGCAGTCGTCCACTGTGCGGCCACTCTGTGTCCGGTCGTTATCACGAAAATTCCTTTATTGTCGCCGCTGAACGGAGCTGTGACTCCATTCGGCCCTGGACACGACGAGCATTCATTAACGAAACGATTTCATCGACGGGAATCTTGACCGCACTCAGCACGCAGCACATGCACACATATTTGCCCGCGCACCTTTTGCCATATATAAATACAATGATCACAAAGACACATGTATACACACGGACACAGACACACAGATACACACAGAGACCAGGTGATTTGCAGGGAGCAGCCAAAAAAAAATAGACAGTCTCACACAGTAGTCGTAGAGCACCACATGAAAATATATAAGTACAGGCAGAAGAAAACAGCAGAGCGTGGCAGAACAGTTGGCGTAAGGCAAAAGTCCAGCAGCCGTCGGGCCGCGATGCTGCTGCTGTTAGCTGGCTGGCTGCTGCTGCTGCTGCTGCTGCTGCTAGCTGCTAGTATAGCATGAGAGAAGTGTTATATCGTGCCGCGGCCATAAAGCAGCGCGAGAGAGACAGAGACAGAACGATGTATACGAGCGAGAGAGAGAGAGAGAGAGAGAGAAACAGCACGAGAAATAGAAAAGCCAAATAGGAACGGTGGTGCTGAAACTGCCTGAGCACGGCAATGCCGTTCGCGCGCGCGCATATAGAACGACGACCGAGTCGTGCTCGAGGCGAGCTGGAGGGGGTAGAGCCGTGTGCTTGAGCGAGCCTCGAACAGCAGCCCAGCAGCGCAGCTCGTATAACATCGCCACAGCTGGTGCGCGCTCCTAACACACATTATATGTATATATTATAGCTGCTGCAGCCGAGCGGCGGTCCTCGTCTGCTGTCGGCCGCAACGAATGCGCATGCCCGAGCCAAATTGAACCAGGCGCGGACGGCTCGTTTTTCGGGCCCCTGGGCTTTCTTCGTTTCCTTTTTTTTTTTACCATTATAATTATTTTTTTATATTACCCATCGTTATGGTATTGCGTACGTGTGTATGTACCACTTATGCACGTGGCCCGATCGCTATACGAATTTTCACGAAGCACGAGTTTTCTCGAAACCAACATTTTCTCAAACGAAAAAATTACTCGTCGTTTGGGTTAAATTCTAGTGGTTTGGTTAATAAACAATGGTAGATGAAAACGAATGATTAGAATAAAAACTTAATTAGGACCCACCACGTAGTGGAAAAGTAATTCGCATAAGTTTCACTTTTATTCTTGCCGCAAAGATTAAAAAAATATTAAAATTGTTTACTCTCGTAAAATTAGAAACGATAGAGACAAAGAATTTATTAATCAAATCCGGTTGACGAGAAATGAGCTGGAGAGAGAGAGAATTTCTATGCGAGAGGCGGATGTAGAATTCGAGAGAATAGAAACTAATGACGCCCGAGGTTAAATGCACAGGTCGCAACTTTTAATTTAAATTGACAAGTAGGTAGCAGCCATTTTGCTGCGGCATTACACAAAAACTAGTAGCCCAAATTATTATATTGTTGCTAGTTGTGCGCTCGATGATGCCGAGAATATACACGTGCAACAAATTTTATATAGCATATTCAGTGACAAAGGAGGCATAAAAGGAGCGGCAGTGCAAAGAGACGTAAAAAAAGAGTAGGAGAAGAAGCGTAAAAAAAAGAAGAAAAAAAAGGAAAACGGAATACGACACTGGTATACAGGCAGTAAGAATAAATTATCGAGTCAATTCTTATACATTTGCACGCTCGTGAGAAGTGGAGGAAAATGATTTACAAAGCTAAAGATCAATTTTGTGTGACGAAGATCTATGCAAGAGACAACGAGAGCGAGATAAAAAAGACAATTATTCCTATTTAATCGTGTGCTGTCGATCGGAGGTGCGTTTTTTTCATTTCGTAAAATAATATTTGTTCCCCTCGAGTTTTTTTTTTTTAATTTTAAGCAGTGCTCGTAATTTCTTATTTGCACGTCCGATGCGGAGAGAATAAGTGCACAGAAGTGGTTGAAGAGCCACGTCGCGGCAGAGGGAACGAAGAAAGAGGGGAGGAGAGAGAGAAAGAGAGAACCCATGAAAAAGACCAGAGTACAAAGGAACAGTGGATGGATGAGCCGTTACATAAATTTTCATAAAATTTGTATCGATTGCACGCGGCGCGTTTATAATAGCCGTATGCACACGAGCGAGGAAGCGTATTGGATTTACAACGGCTTATAATGTATATCGAGAGAGTCTTTTCGCAAATATCGCGTCGTAAAAAGCGTTTCGATGCTTTATTTTATTTCTCAATTTTTCGTCGTTATACGTTTATGAATTGTGTTTAAATATATAGCGGCGCGCCGGTGACTTATCACACCTATACATATATATGGCACACGAAAGGAACTAAAACACGTATGCGCTCACACATATACATACGAGATCGAATGGATTCATCAGCGAGGAGCCGATGATGGATCGAAATATCTATGTTGCAACATCGACGTTTTATTATTTCTTCATCTTTCTTACGAAAATAAAAGCGTTTCTCGCTCGCTCTCTCTCTCTCTTTTTCTTTTTCTCGTGCATCGTTTGCACTCGCGCCGCGAGAGAAAGGCAAAAATATGATTTTTTGGTGCAAAGCAAAAATACACATTAGCCGCAGAGAGAGGCGAAGACAGGTCACCGCAACAGCAGCAGCAGATGAATATACATAGATATACGTCATTACGAAGAGCATCGCCACGTCGAGTGCAAAATTCGAGATGTTATACGGATGCACGCTCGAGTAAAATGACTCGGCATTGTTTTCTTTAAAAACGCACCACGTTATTTTGTTAAATGACGGGCCCAGAGCGCACCGGGATGCAGGAATATTCTTCGCTTTGGTATAAGAGAAAAAAGGTTTTTTTCCTAATGAACCTTTTGACGTGTGTGTGTGTATGTGTGTGGGTACGGTTGTTGCTGCTGGTGCACGGGTGTGCTCTGGGAGTAGGGGCAGTGTAACACACATGAAAACACACTCTAAAACTTGGAAGCTCTCCCAAAATCAAATAAATTCAACCCAGAGTGAGAGAGAAAGCGAGATAGAAAGATGGTTAGCGAGGAAAAGGGCGTGCCAGCTAAAGCGAAAGCGGCAGCTCCAACACATCGCAACTGTACACACACACACACACACACACACACACACACACACACACACACACATTCATCCGCACACATGTAGATAGGCTCACAAGTCAGACAGAGAAAGAGATAAAAAGTCCGTGAGTGTCTGCGTGAAATGACACACGAACGCACGAATAGACGAGCACACAGAAGCGCATGATAAAAAGAAAAAGAGAGAGAGAGAGAGCGAAAAACCACGAGGGACGCGAGCATGATTGAACGATGAAAATGTTGAAACGCACGCTCATTACACTTTGTTGCAGCAATTGTTTTATAACTACTATGCAGCTATAACGAATTGTCTGATTGATTGTGCTCGAGAGCTGCAATGCCCCAGAAATATATATATATGTACGTATATGTGATGTAGCGCCGCATGCAACAACCCCTATTGTTGTGAAAGCACCGAATAAGCAGTCGCTTACTTTTGCATCCAAGCAAAATTAATATTAATTTATTCTTATGCGCTGGCAGCGATGGATGCAGTCGTTTCGGATGTTGTTTATTTTTAATCAAGATTTTTACGACGACTACGTGCAACTGCGCTGCTGCGTACAATTTTAAAGCTCGGATATCGCGTTTGCATTGTTATTTTTCATCAGGATCAATTACACGATATACATGTGTGTGTGTGTGCACGCTGATGACCCTAGGGGTTTATTTCGAGAAAACATATAAACGATTTTTATATTTCATTAAATGAGATATAAACAACTGAAAATAAAATCCCGTCGTCGTCGAATATCGTAAAAGCTCGTAGCTGCGATGGGTGTCAGGAATGTAATCTCCGAGTGAGCTCGGGCAAAAATGAAATCTTCTACATTTAGAAAACACGTGGGCTCGTCGAGCCATACGCACATATATGACTCCCAGCGCAATGTGAAATATCTCGGAATCAGAGAGAAAGAGAGACAGAGAGAGAGTCGAGCAAGTTGCCTTGCTTCCGGCGCTATTTTCTCGCAAAACAGTGAATTTATATTTTCATCGTCGTATTTGAGTTTGCCAAAAATGACATATTTTCATGTCACTCTCTTGGGTGAAGCTTTGGGTAAATATAAAGTGACGCATTTGAATGAACGATAATTGTTGAAAAAATCCATTTAAAAGCATAAAAAATAAAGAGAATTTTCTTTGGCTTTATTTTATTTTTTTTTTTCTAGGATTTCATTCAGTTTTATTTCATTTTTGAAGTTTTCGAATGGAATTTATTAGTTTTCTTGTAGTTTCACATAAAAATGTTGATTGTCAATAACTGCTTGTTCAATTTTTTTTCAATTGATTTTTAATTTATGTAACTTTTAAGACTTAAGGTTTAGTAATCGATATTTTTTTAAATTTCTATAAGAAAGTTAGAGCGGATCGGAACATGGGTGATTTGTACTTTGTTATTTTGGAGAATTTTTTCTGATTTTTTAAAACCCACCATTCAAATTTTTTTCAAAATATATCATTGATACAAGTGGAAAAATGTGCGACAGTAGTCAATTGATTCAAAAATTGATCTGTGTCAGTTATTTCAAGTGTAGAATGATATTAATAAAAATAAGTAAGAAAACGAGATAAAATTGACTCTGTATCGGTTAAAACATCTTCTTATGCATATTTTTCAAGATTTAATACGGTTAGAAAAAATTAAAAAAAATTATAATGACATTTGCACGTTAAAAAAATCAAAAAACAATGAAATTACCGAAAATCAACGATAAATAGATACTATCGCCAAGTCATATTAGAAATATTGATTTGTTAGGGTCCAGGTTGCGGGTATTCTCTTTTGATACCAAAAGAATAACTTTCATTAATATATTACAAAGTAATTTTCGAAATCATCCATGTTTCGATCCACCCTAGTGTACATACCCGACATTCTTGAAGAAGTTTCACTTCGAAAAAAAATTCCTGTTCTGAAAACTCGACATCGAGACGTTACTTACTGTTTCGCATTTACCATTGAAATCGCTGATACTTACTAAGGACGAGTATAATGTCGTTCCAACTCAGAAATATATTTTATTAAACTGAGAGGCAAGAATATATCTCAGCCCTATTCTTATTAAAATATATATAACTAAGACATGTTTTTGCGTCTGAGTTTAAAAAGACATATTTTTGGGTTGGCCCGACGAAATGATTATGCGTGTCGAACGCCGCCACGGATTGCTTCCTCGCTTGCACGCGTGCACAAAATGTTAGCACCACGTCGCGCGATACAACTAACACTCCAAGGCGCCTGCATATCTAGCCGAATGATCGGCTCGAGCTGTTAATAACGCGTTCCTCCATCCCCTAGATCCACTAGGCCTTGACATTTTTTAAAATACAATTTTCGGGGATCCCTTTCTTCCAGCCGTATACTACACACGAAGCCCAGGGCATTCCTTTTGATCTCTTTCTCTCTCTTTCTCTTTCGAACACGCCTGTGTGATATCCTCGCCGGGTAGATATACCTACGTGCGCCATTTACACGGACTTTTCCCCGGGCAAACTCGAAAGTGTCTGTGTGTGTTGTGTGTTGTGTGTGTGTGTGTGTACGTATGAACGTGTGCGGCTGGCTGCGACGTATCGCAATCGCACAGCCAGTCTCTAGGGTTCCGAAATCTACCCCTCGTGTAACTATTATAAACGCCGAGGCTACTCACGTGAGCCCTGCGAGGGCTAGCTAGCTCCTGCGTGGCTATTACGTGGCGTACGCATGCAGCAGGTAGCTACAAGTATATCTCGTTACGTTAATTTACCCGGGGCTCGCAGAGGAGCTCCGAACTTTTTGCTATTACAAAATAAAAGAACTAGCTTTATACTGTCCACGTGTTGGCTCTCCACTAAAAGGAATAGATTAAAATAATTGCAAAATTTTACACGCCGACCTTTTGCTTCATTAAAGTATGTATAATGCAATATGTGCGTATTCCGAGAGATTCCATAATTACGCGAAATGACTTTCAGGTTGTCACCTGAATGGACCCTAAATCGATTTGTACTTTAAATAATTACGAGCTACACACATACGTGCGACGCGTACGTATGTCTCTCGTTTAAATACAATATTGACGATTATCGATCGGTATTGCGCCGCCGAGGCGTACTCGTGTGAGCCGAGCTTGACGTTGTCTCATGGATGTAACACGGACTCGATCAACGCCCATAGCAGTGACTAAGAGAATATAATAATAGAGAAGTATAAATAATATATGTCATCGATTATGAAATTGTACAGCTGTACGTGCGATTGTTCATTAAGAATTAATCAACCAAGTCGGGGTGCATTTTTTTCTTTTTTTTTTTGACACATGCTTGTGTATAATTGATAACTTGCGAGCAGCGAGCTCTTTCGACAAAAATCTAGCAAACGACCAAAAATTAATCACAATCAGCGGACAGGCGACTTTTTCTACGATACAGGTTTGATTGATTTACCAGCAGTTAACGAGCAAACTTTTTTGCTCAAGTCTTTAAAAATAAAGAAGAAATATTAGAGGTTTTTTGAGTTCAGGACAAACTTTCCAATTAATTTTCAGAGGAAAGCTAAAACGACGAGATAACAATATTACATAATTATGCGCTGATCGCAAGCGAAACAGCATGTATACGTTTTATTTTGAAAGTGTATTAAAAAGTTTTCTTAATTCTGTATTGTACATCATAATGAAAGTATATCTTGATGAAAAATTTAAATACTGTTCGGTTTCTGTTTTCTTCTTGACCGCATCATTTTCTTCATGAATTTATAATCGAATTCCAAGGGCTTGATCTTCAATCGCCTTACGCCCGCGTTGCCGACGTTGTCCCACATGGCGTTCTCGATGAAGTGGTACCAGGCCGAGACCCTCGTATAGACCGCCGGTTTGTAGCTGTCGTTGCAGCCCCGTTTGCTGTAACTGACGATGCCCACCACGCGATTCTTGTAAACCATCGGGCCGCCGCTGTCACCCTGTTGGTGCGGAGTAAAGACATTCATTTTTTTTTCTCATCAATTCTTTCAGATAAAAATCTCGATCGAGGAAAAAAACTTACCTCGCAGACGCCTTGCTGAGTGTCAAGGGGCTGTTCACGCATGAACGCGCACATCTTGCCCGGCCCGATCTTGTTCAAGAAGAAAGTCTGGCAGAGCTTGTTGGAAATTATGATGGTCTTGGCTTTCATCAAGATTTGACGGGTCTCGCCGCCCAACTCGACGATCTTGGTCTTGTTGTCTTTTTCCACGATTTCCGTCTCCATCGACTCGTAGCCGAAACCCATGACCAGTGCTGATGCGTCGGCCAACGAATTCAGATAATTCAATTGATAGGTCGGCAAAGGTAGTCGAATTTTTTCCACGTTGTATTGCGGACCAAGTTTCAATTTTTCTTTCAACTGTATCACAAATTTAATATTTACATTAAAATTAATGTGATTTGAATTATATTTAAATTTTTTTTCATGAATCACATGATATGATTTTCATGAATCATATCACATGATTGCATTAATCAATGTGAAAATTCTTTAAATTTGATTCAGATCACATTAATTGGTTTCACACTTCATTAATTATTAAGTAAATGTTTGTCATTTTCTACGTTTCAAACGTAAAACTTCAATTCAAATGAATTTTCAATTTAAACTCGATAACATTATTGCTTATTACAAATGAACCTAATTACGACGAATTTGTTGTCAGCGACAGTAGTGATTTTCAAAAAACTGCTTCAAGGTTCCAAAATTTTATAATTTATCATTTACTCATTTTTTCAAAATCGTGTTTTTACTTATACAATTGTTTTTACTTTGCTACATGCATCATGATCTCCATGAATAGTACGTTAATTGGCTTCAATAATATATTACATAGCCACGTTTGCTACACGCGGATTTACAGATTAATGTACTCATCATCTAACGGTAAAGACTGGCTTTTATTTTGATTAAAATCTCTTAAATCTTTCAAACAGTTAGCCCCAAAAATACATTAACATTAAAACATTGCTTTTCCATCAAAAATGTTAAATTTGAGTTCAGAATTAAATCTTTTTCGTTCGTTTTTGCAATGATAAGTTATTCTATTTTCAGGCAATTTTTACAGTTATGAGAACAAATGAATTAGCACTTTATTTTCAGGGTCTGATTCTACATTAACTTTACATTAATAGGGAATCACGAACCCAGTCCGAAAATAAAATGTTCAATCTCATCTCTAGAAGTTTGAGAAAACTGAATTGAAAATTGGACTTTTGGACTGTCTTCGTCGTCTTCTTAAATTTAAGGTTTATTTGAAACAGTGTACCTTGAGCACGGCTATATCTCCCGGCGACGTCTTTTCTGGCTTATAAACTGCGGGTATGTAAACCGATTCGACGTCAACCCGAACCCTCGTGCTGTTATTCGTGCTGTCCAGTAGGTGATTCGTGCCGGCGACTATGCTCAACGGAATCTGCACCTCTTTCTGGTCCGGTTTCTCCAGACCGAGGCAGTGCGCGGCCGTGAGGACAAACCACTCGTCGATCACGACGCCACCGCAAAAGTGGCCCCAAAAGTCCCATTGCACCGAGACAACGTAGGGAAATTCGTCGGGCAGTGCCTCGGTGCCGCCGATTATTCCCTCCGGTTTCAAGCCATCGACTATTATGATGTGGACATACAGGGAGGGATATCAGTTACGCGTGGGCAATCGCTGAATATGTAATTCGTGAGCGTCTGCTTTGTTACTTACTGCGAACGAGGAGTGTAGCGATTACTGCGGCAAATAAGTATGAGCAATTTCTCGATCGGCTCGTCATTACCATGGTACTCGGGATCTCGAGCACGATCACCACCACAGCGAATTATATGTTGTGTTTCAACGCGCCGGGGCTCACTTGGCCGAGTGAGAGATGTCTTAGAATTATACGAAGAATTTATACATTGATTTTCGATAATCGTTTCACGTTGCCATTATCTTTGGCAACTGTATCGGTACGAATTATAACGAGCGAATAATTTTCACAAATTTACAAAGAAAAAGTTTAAATTCAAAAACAAAAAATCATTTTTTGGCGAAATCAATTTTTATTGACGAACGGAAGATAACTTAACGATCAATAACTGATATACGTAACGAGCCATTCATCTATGTGCAACGATCGGAAAACAATTATAAAAAAAAAAATATATCATCGTACACGCGCATTGCGCGAGTCGTAATTATTTCGTCAAATCAATTCCAACTCGTTGATTGCACAAAGTCGAATTTTTACCTTTTCATTAGAGCTACATGACAGTACGAATCGTTGATAAAACAATAATTACTTGGCAATTTATTTTCAATTATCAATTTTATTTAGCTATATACACGCACACGAGCACACTATATGCGATCAACACAATTTCTGCGACGCAGGCTAATTTTCTATAAAGCAATCACGCCATAAATCAGGTATATTATTTTAACTTCTACATGTTGGCGTACTATATACAGTGATTAACTACATAAATATTTAACATTGGGCTAGACTAAGAGTAATTACCAATTTTTACAATTGGATATTTTCTAGTAGATGTGGTGACGTACTTCCGCGTCGACGATGCCGTTCATCGTCTTGTGGATGAAGCCGACGAGCGAAGATACCCGAGTGTAAACGCCAGGACCGTCCTTCTCGTTGCACGTGGCTTTGTTGAACGATACGATGCCGATGATCACATTTTTGTGCACCAATGGACTGCCACTATCGTCCTGCAGGATCAATATAAAAAAAGTTAGTATTGTTAAATGCGTCTCTAGAAGCGCTTGATATTTTCTCTCTCTCTTTTAAAACTCACGTTACAAAAGCCTTGGGGGAAGCCGATCGGTTGCTCGACCAAATAAGCGCACAAATGCTGCGGGAATATCTTGGACACATAAAAGCTCTGGCAGAGCTGATTTTCGATCACCAAGGCCCGGGACTTCATGAGCTTCTTCGAGGCGGGTCCATGAGGCGTCGTCCAGCCGTAGCCCGTTAAAACAGCACCGTAGCCGTCGTACAATGCACCAACCTCGGGTAGCTCAACTTTATCGAGCCTGTCGTCGTTCAAATTCAATCTATCGCTCAACTAATAACGTAATCACAATAAAAGTAGTATTAAATCTTGGATCCTCTATCACTTCACGGTGGTTGCAAAACAAGTCAAATTGTGCGCAAATTTACCTTGATCAATGCCACGTCCGAGTTCATGTAGGTCGAGAAGACTTTGGGCACGTAGACGGCGCTCACGCCCACCACTACTCGGCTCTTGGACTTGAGATTGTTCGTGCCGGCGACGATGTGGTAGGGTCCCTTCTTAAAGACACCCTGGCGCGCGTTGAAGAAGCAGTGAGCCGCCGACAGGGCGTACTGCTCGCCGATGATGGCTCCGCCGCAGACGTGCCCATTTTTCGCGTTCTGCACCGATATTTGGTATTTGAACTCGTGGAGTTCGGTGTCGACGCCGCCGAGGATTCGAGCCGTCCTCGCGGACGCTTCGTTGCTGATGCAGAGCAGCAGCAGCAGCGGCACAAGCACAAGACCGACTGGCAGAGAGGCCGAGCTGAGGCGAACTTTGGGGAACTCCATGACGATCGTGTCGGGCAACGGTTGCGATCGGAAAACGGCCTGGGCCTCGATTCGCACGAATTTTTATCTGCTTTTTGCGGGACGATAAAGCGCCACGCTGAAATACTTCTTTTCTTTTTCAAATGTCACTTTGTTCTTTTTGAATCCAAACGAGTTTGCAATGCTTGATCGTTGCGCTCCGCTTTTTTTCCTCCACGCTCGACGTTAATTGAAAGCGATTCGAGTGAAAAAAAATTTTTTTTCACGCCGCACGCTCAGCCGGATGTTTATGAAATTTAAAAAAAAAGGAAAGATTTTTCGTACTTTCTCTATACCGGAGAACGCGAAAAGTTTAAAATAAAACTACAGACGCGCCAAGCGAGGATCATTGAGAAAGTCAAGAAAAGCCGCGGTGCAAGTTCGCGATATATACCTTGAAAAAGTGACGGATAATAGGGATTAATGTTCGGTGCGGTTTCATTAAAAGATATATGTTTAACAGCGATGCACAAACAAATTTTATCGCACACGCCAAGTCATATATTCAAATATTATTTGCGAAGCCTCGTTTTACGTCGCAAATTATATACACATAGCATTTGTGTATACACATAGCATGTGTAACATCGATACATTATCATCACGTGCGTGTATTTATGGTAGAGGCATTTATACATCGAGCGATCGGTGCCGGAAACCCTTTTCTTTTCTTTTTCTTTTTTTTTATCACCTGAAGTTCTAACTATCAATGAATATTATATGCGTGCATTGCACAACGCTTTGTATTACTTGGTATACTTTCAAAAAGTATTGGTTTTTATTGATATATCTGGTGATAAGGATTGAATACCGATTGATCGTCGCTGTGCGTCTATCGATTGATCAATGAGGGTGAAGTATTTTTATGCTTGATCATTGATTCATACAAATCCCTTTTGTTTCGCTGGCTCGAATTGTTTTATCGAGTTTTCTTTCTTTTTAGTTCTCATTTTTCTTAATATGTAGTATAGTTTCTATCGTACGAAAAGCCAATGATTTGGAAAAATGTTGCCTCTGTTAAGAATCTATCCAAGCGAATCGTTGCTTCTTTCTTTTTATTCGTAATCATTGTAAAAGTTTCGTCTATTGCGTGCGTGGAACACGCCCTAAAGCTATATTGTTCCGTATATATATGCAAACCACAATGGGCAGGAGAAATAAAGAGAGAGAGAGAGAGAGAGAGAAAGGAAATGAGTCGATGCACGTGCTTTAAAATCGATGTTCGTTGCTTCGACTCTCTCTTACTACGTACCCTATGGAATATTAATAGGAAGCCTTTGCATATAATCGAGCCAGAGTTCCTTAAAATCTATTGCTGAAAAAATTGCCAACACTGCGTTAAACAAAGAGCAATAATTTTTACGTATCGTAAGATGGAAAGAAAAAAAAATTTTTTCCTTCATTCATAGATCTCTACACTTCAGCCATGGAGAAATAATTTTTATTTTTCCTTTTTCGGGGGGTGGTTTCATGCGCAGCAGCGGCATCTTGAAATTACAAAACTCAATTACGAGGAAACGAAAGCTTGAAGTCGAACTCAAACGCACTCGTAAAACCTGCTAATGAAATACGAAGATGAGGAAAAAAAGAAATAAAGGAGCGTGGGGTAATTAATGGCGAGAAAAATCCTTACGCTCGCTTATCGGGACTGGAAACTCTGTTGCCGACTCGTTTTACACGATGAAGAACGAGCAATTTCGAAATCGTCGAAGAAATGTGTGAAAAAAGCTGTAAAATTACTGCCACGTTATGTTGAAAAGAAAGAGACAGACAGACAGATAAAGAGATAAAATTTCACCGGGCTGAGTTTACTTTCGACTGTACATAGCCGATTCTCTGTGAAATTGAATATCCCAAAAAATTTTTTCCAGTTGACATGAAAAAATTGTTTATGATATCATGTGTATCATCAAATAATTCAAAAATTTTTCGAACCGTCTGTTTCTTTTTCGTAGATACAGAGATGGAGTTTTTTTCTAAAATCCTGGTTGTCGACAATATTAAAGAAGCCTGTATCAATACGTTAAAAAAATATAACATTTTTCGAATTTCAAAATAATAAACGTTTAAACGAGGTATCTGAGAAAAAAGGAAAGAAGTAAAAGAAAACTATAATTCACTCCGAAAGTATATGAAAAACTACTTCAGGACTTTGAAAAAAAGCAATAGACGGTGTCCGAAATTCTGTTAGAATTGTGGGACATTATATACTATACGGGGTTATCACGTATCTACTTAATAAATCGGAGTCAAACGATTACTGCGATATAATATCTATCGACTTTCGGATACGCATAACGCGAAATGCTAATGTATCAGGTTAATTTCATTGTCACGAAGTTTTGTCCATCGACCATGGGTGCTATTGATTTTTCTGTGTGCATCTGGATCAGTTGAGGGATAGGCGTGCGAAGTTAAAGAATAATTATTACTTCAAAACAATGTTTTTATATAATTCATATACAGATAGAGAGTATTTACTTGGGAAATATTGTTTAAACTGGTTTTCCTCGTTTTACACGGTAGATGCATACTTGTATTTTACTTAAAGTAAGAATAGTGGCTGGAAGATCTCTATCTATCACAATCCCCAGAAAATTAATAATAGTTTGGAAAACTTTATTATTATTTACAATATTGAAGAATATTTGTATGAAAAATTATCTGAAATTACGTAGTACTCATGTGATTACAGAAATCTCCGAACAAATCTCATGTTTCTAGGTTTGATTCAATTATGTACTGAATATATGTGACGCATAAGGTAGCTTTAATATGATGTTTGACAAATATATTCAAAAGGTTGGCTCCGATTATATACTGTCATTGTGTGATTCTTGAGGTTACCTTTAAATCTAAATGATTTGTTACAAGTATCACATTAAAAAGGTTTTTTATGATCGTGTACTGTGCTTTTGTGAGTTTTAAGGTTTCCTTTTATTCCAAATGATTTGTGACAAATTTCACATTCGAAACGTTTACTACGATTATGCACTATCGTGAGCGTCGAGAGTAGATTTTTGTCCAAATGATTTATGACAAATCTCACATTGAAAGGGTTTGCTACGATCATGTATTGCATTTATGTGATTTTTTAAGCTAAGCTGGTATCCAAATGATTTATAGCAAATGTCACAATTGAAGGGTCTTCTCCAATCATGGACTGCATTTATGTGTACATTGAGATTGCCTTTGAGTGCAAATGATTTGTGACAAATCGCACATTCAAAGGGTTTGATTAGATTATGTACTGAACGTATGTGAATATTGAGTTGACCTTTCTGTCCAAATGATTCGTGACAAATCTCACATTCAAAAGTTTTTCTACGATCATGTACTGTCATTATGTGCAATTTGAACTTTTGGCAAATATCACATTGAAAGGGGTTGCTTCGATTATGTACTGTCATTGTGTGATTCTTGAGGTTACCTTTTAATCCAAATGATTTGTTACAAGTATCACATTTAAAGGGTTTCTATGATCGTGTACTGTGCTTATGTGAGTTTTAAGGTTTCCTTTTATTCCAAATGATTTGCGAAAATCTCACAAGCGAAGGTTGATACGGTTTGATACGGTCATGTACGGCAATTATGTGTCGAATGAGTATCATTCAGTTCTTTTTTCACCCTAAGGAATAATCAAGTTTGATGAAAAGTTTCTTAAAAAGTACTATGTCATAAACAGAAAACGTTATACCTAACTGTGACCCCTCTGTTATCCATCATTTGCTTGATTATGTTTATTACTCAAGAATTTTCATGATATGCCCTGAGAAAGTATTCGAGGCTATGTGCCTTGAGTAGTGAAAACTGTAACCTCGATTTCGCGAATTTATACACACTTGCTTATTACAGGAATTCAGCTTTTGGCTTGCGACCGAACACATTATTCGTATATTAGCGAGGTTACCTTGCGATTGGGATAACTACTTGGCGATTCATTCCCCCCCTACCATCGATTATTACGCAGCAACGTACATACGATGTAGGGCTTTTTCACAGTCATCAGTGACGGTCAAAAATCGACCAGCTGATTTTCCTGGAGGCAAAACAAAGCGACCATCCGATTACTTTACACGTTAAAGTTGGTTGGTAAAAGTACTTATAATTAATTTACCGCGCAGTAAAAAAATAAACAAAAAATATCTGGAGAAAGCGGAAATCCTTGGGTATCGAAATATCGAAGCGATTTTTAGTTTAAGTCTTTAGTTTGTAAATAAAAAAATATTGAAATTTCGGCTTTTTCGTCTGTGATATTGTCAATAAACCCTTATAAAATAGCTATTAAAAGTGGTTTTTCAGATTGCAATACAAACTCTGAGGTGGGATAATTTTTATTTTTTCAAATTACCGACTAAAAACTAAGAAACAATCGTAATTTCAAAAGATTATGAAAATGATCTCCCAATCGTCTTCTAACCCAAGTCTGCTGGTTAGTGGAATAATAATATTTTTAATTACGATTGTTTCTTAGTTTTTCGTCGGTAACTTCAAAGAATAAAATTTCCCTGCTTGAGAGTTTATATTGCAAATTCGAAAAAATTACTTACAAGGAGATCACGAGAGAGGTAAAATATCAAAATTTCTGAAAATATTTTTGAGGGCTCTAAAGTTTTTCATGTTTAGTTTGATTCAATTGACCATAAAGATCATTTTGAACATTACTTTTTGGTCAAAAAAAAACTGTTCTTAATTTTTTACTGCACATTGTTTACCGATTTGGACGCGCTTTTGGTATATGTTTTTATTATAGTACATGAAAAAATAGTTCGAAAGCTGAGATTCTGTAGACCCTAAGATCGCTTGTAAAAATTAGAGAATCGCAAATATCACCACCCACATACAGTCTATCGAGTGCTCCGAAAATTCTAACTTGTCGAATATGCACGGATATTTTCATCAAATTTGAACATAAGTATAACAAAAAAAATAGTGAAACAAGGTTCGATCTTAGGTATTTGGAATTTACTTTTATGTCAAATGTTAATAAAAGATAATCGAGAGTAAGCCTTGCACTTAATATGCGGTTTGCTCAGTTTGCATTATTGAAACTATTCAAGCTCGTGATTTCCATGCATAAGCACGATCGTTTAGCTGCATTATAATTGCCACGAGCAGCGGCTACTGCAATTATCAGTCAGTGCAACCCTCAGTTTATATTTTTACCGCAGAGAGATATTGGTCGCGCAAACATGGTCGCGACGGAATGGAAGCCGACGGAAGAGGTCAACGCATCGCGAGAGAAGAACGCGATATTCGATCGCGTCTCGATCTTCATGAGGCTATTTTTGCAACCGATCGGCATTTGGCCCTTGCACACGGCCAATTACACGTCGAAAACGAGATTCTGTTTGTCGGTCGTTTGCCTCACGGCGGTCGCACTGGTCGCTGGGCCGCACATCTATTACGTTTCCTTCGTCATGGCCGATACGCATGTGATTCGCATATAGCGCTAATAATAATAATTGAGATGGAAAAAAGTTTGGCCGTTTATTAAGATTAATAAATCGTGTTCTATGCTTGCGTTGCACAGGTACGCATCAGACACCTGCCGCCCATATCATTCTACAGCATCAACACCGTCAAGTACGTCGTGTTCATAATGATAAGCGAAAAATTTTCCGCCTTCGTGCGGTTGTTCGCCCGGGACTGGCGTTCGCTCGTGAACGAGCCGCGTCAGCTGTCCATCATGCTGAACTATACGAGCAAGGCCAAGTACCTGATCGTCGCGAGCATAATTCTGCTCTACGGTAACGCCGTCCCCTTCATCATCTTGCTGCCTCCCATGACCAAGCTCGTCGACGAGGCGACCAATGTCACTTATCGGACCCTCTGCTATCCCGGACACTACTTCGATCTGATCGATCCCAAAGTTAGCATATTTCTACTCCAGAATTATATGATAGTGGTACTTGTAACGCAGGCAATTATATCTGTTTGCAGCAAAGCCAGCTCACCTACTATATTTTGTACGTCGTACAGACGTATTTTGGTTTTTCCTTGGTAACCTGCACCCTGGGCTTTCTCAGTGTCTTCGTGACCTTCGGTCTGCACGTGTCCGCTCGTTGCAACATAACTTCGCTGCTAATTCAGGAACTCGTCGACGATTACTCGAGCGCTCGGCTAAAAGTCATCGTCGACCAGCATTGCCAGTCGCTCAAGTACCAAACATCAATTTCATCCGAGTACTTTGAGTACTGAACTGTTTATTTATTTCTTGAAACAGGTTGGTCGCAGATTTGGAGGATACTTTCAAGTTGGTCTTTTTGCTTGAAATTCTCGGCACGTTGATTTTACTCTGTTTCACTGGCTTCGTCTCCATACTGGTATGCTGACATGAAACCATTATATGCCTGCGATTATTTACGTTTTCTCCAGCCTATTAGTTTAGCTATTAATTTATTGGCAGGATCTTCAGAGCATGAGACTCTTTCCTTTGTTCACCAATTTGATCATAATCATGTCGTTCTCCTACAACATATTCGTGTACTGTTACGTCGGGGAAAAAGTTAGCGAGCAGTGCTCGAGCGTCGCCAAGAGCATCTACCGCACCAACTGGTATGAGCTGCCGCCCCTGGATGCGCGAAATCTCTGCTACATAATGGTTCTAGCGCAACATCCAGTGCAATTGACCGCCGGCAAAATTATGATATTGTCGCTGGAAAATTTTACCAAAGTCAGTACCGAAGAAAATAAGTCTGTGAAATTCGGCGCCCTTGTACAAGCTCCTAAACCCGCTACAAGTCTTGATTAACTGAATACTATTTTTATTGTTGCGTAGTTTTCCAAAGTCAGCTTTAACTCTCTCAACATGATACGCAAAATTTTGGAGTCGACTCCATAAATTTCAAATGTTGGCACGGATCAGAAGATATTTATGTTGATTAAAGTATACTTATGCTGCCTAGTAATTAATAAATAGATTTAAAAATTGAATTTTACGTTTGTGTCAATTATATGTTACAATAATAACTAATAACACACTTTACTTTAATAATAACCTTTTTAAACCTTGCTTTTACTTATACAATTTTATTACTTTTTCACTTGCAGATTTACAGGTAAAGGTATTCGCCATCTAGTGGTTGCAAGTGGCTTTAATGACGAGGGAAGTTTCATCAATTTTTGGTACACTTAGCCCAGAACCAGAAAATACTATAATGTTTGTTTTTTCTCATTTTCGCTCGTTGGCTGCAGCAGAATTTTATAAAAATTATTCATTAAATTATGTTGAAATCGATATGTTAAGGATGCAAGCTAATGATTTTTTCATAATTCAGAAGATGGGCTTTGAAGCCGTCACGTGTAAAGTTTCAATGGCAAAATTGGTGAATTTATATTACGCTGCGGTAACTCGTGTTCTCTATGAATAATAGTGCGGACTCGAAATAAGGGCATCGTATGCTCTAATTTTGGGATTCATTATCATTACAATCGGAAGTTGAGTGTTGTTAACCCTGGCGCTAATATGAAAAAAATTAAAAAGATAAACAGGTGAACGAGAGATGATATTGCCGGGTATAAGAAAAACAACTACAAGGAAGCAACCACAGCGCTGTATACCCGTCGAGGAAAAAAGGATCTAATACGTTTTTAAAAACTTTCCGATCAGGTTAATAGGACATATTTTTCCAATTGTCCGTGTCAATGTGCCGATAAACATATTCTATACGACGGAGTCGTGAGCGAGCCCCTATAATCGTCGTGCGTTACGTGCGCAGCCGGAGCTTATCGACGCGTCCGCATGCAAATCCGTTTTTATCGCTGTAACTCATAAAAGGCCTCTCTCTCTCTCTCTCTCTCTCTTATTAGTACATGAGCATCGTATAACGTATACGCTATATCACAGGATGAACTTTTGTGGCATGGGTCAGAACTCGTTAGTTGGGTTCATAAAGCCGCAGTCATTCATCATCTTATATATCATCTCTCGTAACTTGTCGTAGTTTTATTCAAGCTGCATCCCAAGCGTCTACTACCTTACAGAAAAATATCTTCAAAACATTTGACCAGGAGATTGCAAGAAAATAAACGTCGAGTTTAGAGTATGATCGAAGACGTATTTATATGCATGTTCACACACGATTCGTTACAATAATATAAAATTCAGCAAAATTTCCAAGATCGCAAGACCGGTCGCGTACAGGCTGAACGCATTAGACGATGACGCAGTGGCATCGCTACCGTCGTAGATCGATGTTCGATTGTTATCGCAACGGCAATACCATGGCACGGCGTCCGGATAGACGACTACGTTTTCCCCCTCGCACCAGACGAAGCAATTTTCCCGGCAGTCTTCCACGACGTTGGCCAAGCAGTACTCGACGCTCGTCGTCGTCGTCTCGTTCTCACCTATGCGTCGTTAAACAGTCATTATTACAAGTAGCCACATAATATCGGATGTGTAAGAGCTTTGATATAGGTCGAATTGCAACGATGATGATGATAGTACGTACCGATTGCACAAAGCACGAGCATCAGGAAGGAAAACAAGCCGACAAGTTTCATTTTCTGCACTGCGCGCGTCGGCTGATCGCTTTTGCGTGCGGCGCTCGACGGAAGACAATTGTACACACGCGGCATAGATCATCGCGGAGTTTTCTATATATACAGAGACGTGCTTCGCACACGCGACCTTTGACCTTTCGAAAACGATCGACTCTCTCGGATCGTTTGCGCGGCAAAATCAATTCAAAATAAACATCGCTTCGCGCGCACACTTATTCTCCGGAGTTCTGCTAATTTCTTCTGCTTCACATAGCACCCCCTCGCGATGAAAATCGTGAAACTTTATATTCCATATTTACATGCGAATAGCTCGTGTACTGTCAATCGAATTAATTCGTACACAGTATCGCAGGTGCGTGTACCACAGTCAAACGTAACGATTTTCGTGCAATACACATAATAATATACACGCGCAATGGGAGATACTTCGAAGTCAGCTCGAGCCGAGGGCGACGAGGAGGAGATGACGACCGACGATCTCGCCAGGAGTCTCAATGCCTCGAGCTTCGACGAGATCGAGGAGGTGAGAAACATCTACTCGTCCGAGGATCGTCGCGATCTGCTGAATTCGACGCTGCCCTTGGGATTGGCCTCGCTCAGATCTCTGACACGAGGCAAAAACAACGCCGCAGCTCATCCGGACACCGACCAGTAAGTCTTTATTTCTCTTTTTCTCCTGCCTTGAAATCGAAAGTTTTATTGAACTCGAGAATGAAAAATTCGGACCCGGTACTGCTGCAGTTGGCTCGGTGGAAACATTGACCTCCTGTTTCTTGTTTACAGGCCAATGATCCATTCGGCAGCCAACGGCAGCAGCAGAAGCGGCATCATCCTTATTTACATTAAATCGCACGAAACGGGTCTCTCTCGCTCATCGGCTCATAATTTATATTATCGTAAAACTTTCGAAGCCCGTTCAACGCATCGGTCCACGATGTCGGACTGCTCTACCAGACCCCGGAAAAAAGAGAAAAGACCGTGTGGCTGTCTAGCGGCGACGAGGCCTCGCCGGACGTCTTTTTCCTGGGACATCATGATCAAGTGCCGGATGTCGACGACGAAGCCGAGAACACCGAAGACACCAGCGTCTACGAGGAGACGGATCTCAGCAAATTCGTCATGGGCTACTGGCGCAATCCCGAGGAGGAGCTGCTCGACCTGCCGGATCACGAGGAGTTGGACGACCTCAACGACGCCGACGAGTTCGATCCTCCGGACGAGTCGATCACGCAGGATACATTTCTGTCTGCCTGTGACTCGCCCATTAAAATTCACCTGCCCGGCAGCAGAAGCAGCGAAAACCACCTCAGTACCACCGAGAGGGTCATCAAAGGTAATTACATTATATGCACGAAGAGAAATGGCAATTAAATGCGGCGAACGTATTTTACGTAGATGTACCCGAGCCAGCGAAAAACCTACTGACTGAGGAGGAGATCTTCGACTGCGTGACCGGTTTGCCCCACCACGAGCTGCTGAGAGATCACATGCTGCGCGAGGGCAGATTGGAGGAGTCGGCGGTGATACGCATCGTCAAGGAGGGCGCTTTGCTCTTCGCCCGGGAGGCCAACGTCATCAAAGTTCCCGCTCCGGTCACGGGTATGTAGCAACGGTCCCTTTATTTTTCCTACAATAGCCTAACCGAACCGTATGTTTTTTTTACAGTTTGCGGCGACATTCACGGTCAGTATTACGATCTGATGAAGATCTTCGAGATCGGCGGCTCACCGGCCGACACGACCTACTTGTTCCTCGGCGACTACGTGGATCGCGGCTGCTTCAGCATCGAGTGCGTCCTGTACCTCTGGTCGCTGAAGATCTGCTACCCCCAGACGTTCTTTCTGCTGCGCGGCAATCACGAGTGCCGCCATCTCACCGAGTACTTCACGTTCAAACGCGAGTGCGAGGTCAAGTACTCGCTGCTCGTCTACGAGGCCTGCATGCTGGCCTTCGACACTCTGCCGCTGGCCGCTCTGATGAACAACCAGTTTCTCTGCGTGCACGGCGGCCTGTCGCCGGAGCTCCTCGACGTCGAGGACATCGACAAGATTCAGCGCTTCCAGGAGCCGGCCTCGCACGGGGCTTTGTGCGATCTGCTCTGGGCCGACCCGGAGGACCACTACGACAAGCAGCGTCAGCCGGAGTTCTACAGCCACAATTCGGTGCGGGGCTGCTCGTTCTACTACAGCTACGAGGCGGTCTGCGACTTTCTCGAGCGCAACGGTCTGTTGGGCGTGATAAGGGCTCACGAGGCGCAGGACGCCGGCTACAGGCTCTACAGACTGACCGACAAGAACTTCCCGTCGCTCATGACGGTGTTCAGTGCACCGAATTATCTCGATGTTTACGGCAATAAGGTACGTAGTCTAAGGTCAAACATCGTTTGTAGCTCCTCTTTTTTTCTTTATTTATCCCTTGGCGTTTCTGCTTCAGGCTGCCATATTGATATATTCGAACAACCAGATGAACATAAAACAGTTCAACGCGCAGCCTCACCCCTACTGGCTTCCCAATTTCAACAACGTCTTCGATTGGTCCATACCGTTCGTCGGTGAGAAGGGTAAGAAGGACGGGTTCTTATTTTATTTATTCAATTTGATTGAAAATTTAAACTGCTTATGTGAATGTCATTTTCTAATAATAGTGACGGAGCTACTTCTTGGCGTACTGAACATCTGCTCCGACGAGGAGATCAATCAGAGCCAGGAAGATGATTCGCGTCTGGGCGCGGTGGCTGCCAGTCGCAAGGACATAATCAAGAATAAGGTCAAAGCCGTTGGAAAGATGTCGCGCAACTACACCTTACTCAGGTAAAAAATGAGGGAGAGAGAACGAGAGTGATAAAGATGTAGCAGGTGGTGAATTTTCATCTCGCGATTTACTGATTTATTTTTTGTTATTCGTTTACTTCAGGGAGGAGAGCGAGACGATTATGCAGTTGAAGGGCTTGTCACCGAATGGCTTGCTGCCACCTGGAACACTGGCCGGGGGCAGGGAAGGCTTGAAGCAAAGTGAGTTTTTCGAATGATTTACTTTCGGCACACGCATAACATTCCAAACGAACATAATTGATCATTTTCTTTTGCACTGCCACAGCTTTGAGAAAACACCTGACATTCTCCGAGGTCAAAGAGCTGGACGCGTCGAACGAGTGCATGCCACCCTGGACTGACGAGGAGGAAAGGGAAATCAGCTGCTCGCGACACCTCATGTCAAGAAAAAGTATTTAAATTTATGATGAATAGCGATCATACAAAGCTGTCCCTGGCTTCATTTCCAATAAATAAAAATACATAATTTTATAAACATTTTTACTTCATTAAAATACACCATCCGTCGACGTTTTGTCAAATCGTATTTTTCTGAATTTAAAAGTTGCATCACATCGATCACGCATGCACGGATGAGCAAATTATAGATCGCGTTAATATTTTGTTATTTTATATGAATGGCGATGTGTATATCGGACGTTTAGTCGGAAGCAATCTACCACAATATGTTTGCTTTTCATAATGAGGGGCATTTTCATGAAACGTACATTTCCTTGCTATTCGTGCGAGAATTTCAAATTAGAATTATAACTATTACAAATATCTGGTCGAGGTATCTTAAACATTGGAATTCGGCTATAAGATTCTTGGTTTATGAGCAGATTACAAAAGACGAATCATATCGGAAATGCTATAAGCAATATCGATCCGAAACACGCATTCTACGTAAACAACAGTACGGGCACATTATTTTGAAAAAAGTTTATTTCAAGTATTTCGAACTGTCTCAAAAGATATGATACCTACTGTTTCGTTTCATTGACCTGTGTGTTGTGCTATCGACCATATTAAAAGTTTACTTATATTGTTTTGAAGAGGTCAGTCACAGCTTGACATAAAATCGACGGATGATGTTTCAATTGAGTGAAAATAGTTATGAAATTATAATTATCTTTGATAGCTTTCTGCGATCGCGATTTATCGTAACAATAACTCGACAAAAACTCGTTTCGGTATTTTACGTTGACTCTTGCCCGGGACGATTTAAAATCGCGAAATTCATAGTACGATAATATTTGTAGACAATGAGGTCGTTCCAAGAAGAAGATCGCCGCGTCTTCGAGAAAAACTACAAAGAAGATGGGAGGCGATTGTCAAGCCGTGCTCGGTGGTTTTACAAAGATTGTCTGAACAACCTCGAGTGTCTGACGAAAAATCCAATAAAAATGCCTAATTTTTTGCTCCAAAATGAATAAAGTTTTCTTTTTTTTCTATATTTCGTAAATACGTCGACGTCATATCATTTTTTCCTCCGTGAGTGCGCTCGGTTGCATCGCTCGCAGGCGCATCGCGCCACACATATTCAAAAGTAATTCAGCCAAGGGTAGCGGTCATTTGTAATTTCTCCGTGATTAGATATCGATTTATAGTGCAAATCTCGCGATTCCCTTTCCTGAAGATCTCCCTCCCAGTCATCATCATTATCTGCAAGCACCAGGTTACAATGTGCGACAGACAGAACGACGTGACATTTGAAATGACGTGCAGCAATCGCCTCGCGCGCGCGCGCACGAGCTGCATAATAGATCATGCATCAGATTTAGGACTTAATTTCCGTGAAATCTCGTCAGAATGCGACGCATAAGACGCGCAGATAGAGACAGAGAGTCTGTCTTGCAATCAGGCAAAGAGCATCCCCGAGGCTTGTATGGACTGGAATGTCGCGCGCAGGCGCTCGCCAGCTCGAAAACGTGCCTGCAGCAGCTCGCACAGTCCGAGGACTGACGGAGCAGCAACAGCAGCGGCTCTCCTATGATAATATATACCTACATATCTAGATGTAGTGTACCTACAGTACCAAAGGTCACGTGAGCAGTGCTCCCGCGCACAGTAGTAGTAAAAGTACCTATACACATCGAGAGCTGCTCCAAGGAATCCGTACACATGCATTACAATCGGTGTGTGCGCTCGGTGTATACAAATACATACGCACATGCTGCTGCTGCTGTTCAATAATAGAGGCAGCTCTCTCGGCATGTGCCTGGCGCGCTGAATTATCATATGGTGCGCGCCTAATACTCGCTGTAGTTCGTACACCACTGCAACTGTGATATATACGTATACACAGACGCGAGACTTGTTCTCTGTGCTGGTGAAACGCGAGCCTCCCCTCTTTCTCTCTCTCTCAAAAAACTCGGCATCGTCATCGAGCGTCATTATTAATCCGGAGCATAATACTCGCGCAGCGCGTGCGAAAGCCGCTCGCGTCTCTCGCTGGTGTGTAGTAAGAGGCATGCTTAGTCTCGTCGCTCCACAGTGAATTTTCGTTCTGCCACACATATAGCTCTCCGCTTTATACTGTAAATATATCGTATAACTTTTATTTTTTTTTTATGACGTGCGACAACACAAGTGCTACCGTTGTAAAACTGGCCAGACTGCTCTCACACGCACTTACTTACGCATACACACACGTGGCCAGAAGAAAAGTCCATCGTTGTTGTCAGATTTGTTTAATACAACGTGAGTGCAACACAATTGTATCGTATTTGTCGTATATTCTTATCGATCCTCGTGCTCGCGAACAATATGTACTCGTTAGTGTGTATAGTATCGAGCACGATGTTTGTGCATCTCCTTGAATTTTTTATTTGATTGCGATATCAATAAATCTGAGAAGAAAATAAACAGCAGTAGCACAGCTGCCTCCGTGTGTGTGCGTACGTATATCTAACTTGCTTATGTATACGCTTATATTATAGAAGCGCACCACACGCATGCACACATCTGCCGCTGCTGCTACTGCTGCTCTGGTTTCCATAAATGCATCGGTCTTCCTAAGCTTGTTCGAGTATATGCTTACATAGCTGTTCTAACGCGTTGTCTCGAAAAAAAATTCAATGTCATTTTCGATCGCTTCGGTCTGGTCGATTGACTTTTTTTTGACGTGTTTGACAGTGAACGATTTTTTTTCCTTACACAATGTTTACCCAAACAATTACACAACTGCTGAGAATTTTACTGACGAGTTGCAGACGTTAAAATTAGATATAATGCAAAAGTTTAGACAGTGAGAAGACAAAAAACAGAAAATGATAAAAATAAAAATACAGTAGACCGTTGAAATCTTGCGCGTCGCGATAAAACTTTTTCTCAAAATTCTTATCTTGCAAAATATTTGTCTGTTGTGTCTAGGTGCAGCGTCGCGCGTCCAATAAATAATCGAAAAATCTAAGTCATGTCGAGCCTCGAGGCACTGAAAGCCGAGCGAGCCGAGCTCCTGGACAAGCCGCTATGGGACCAGAGCACCTTCATGGGCCGCTGGAAGCACTTCGCCTGGGTCACGGATTTTCGCACCTGCGTGGAATCCGAAGAGGAGCTCTACAAAGCCAAGGAGCTGTGCCATTTATACAGGTGAAAACATGAAAAAATATCCACGTAGAGGTGCGAATTATCATCGACGTGTCGCTTGGGTACGGTGCAAAGGAAAAAAAGACAAGTCTTATATAAATCGATCGTTAGATACCGTATAGCGCGCGTGTATAGCTCGTATTATAAGTAATTGAATCTGGAGCGCTGCGTGAATATATAATTCCCGCGCGCCCGAGCGGTCATTCCTCCTTTTCATATGTCGAGCGCGTTAATCAAAACACACGACGCAACGCAACACGTATACGCACGCGCTAAAGTCATCGGATCTCGATTCTGGCTCGAGCTGTCAACGTAGCCTTCCACCGCTAGATGATAATGATAATAACGATGCGAAAATAATCGAATCGATCTCGTTCCACAGATTAGGACGCGAACCGGTGGGTACGACCAGGGAGCAGATCATACACGCGAAAAAATTGTACGAGTCGTCGTTCCATCCGGACACGGGTGAGCTACAGAATGCCTTCGGCAGAATGTCCTTCCAGGTGCCCGGTGGCATGGCCATCACCGGGGTCATGCTGCAGTTTTACAGGTAACGATCGCCGATTTGAAAAATTGAAAAATTATAAAAGTTTTGATCGACTGAGACATTTTTAATCGGTACAGAACCACGACGGCTGTGGTGTTCTGGCAGTGGGTCAATCAGTCGTTCAACGCCCTGGTCAACTACACGAATCGCAATGCAAACTCGCCGGTGACGACGCACCAGCTGGGCATGGCATACATCAGCGCGACTTCGGCCGCCATGCTCACCGCCATCGGCTTCAAGAGCTTCTGGGAGAAGAGGGCCAATCCCCTCATGGCTGTGAGTGCATTTTTTTATATTTTAGCCCAATTTTTGGCGAATTTTCACATTTTTAACTTTAAACAATTTTTTTCCTTCGAAAATCAACAGAGGTATGTGCCGTTCGCGGCCGTGGCAGCTGCTAATTGCGTCAACATTCCGTTGATGAGGCAGAACGAGATACGCGGTGGCATCGACGTTGTCGACGAGAACGGCAACAAACTCACCAAGTCAAAGGTGAGCAGTAGCAGCAGCAGCTGTGCCTCAATGAATATAAATGACGGCAAAACTTTTACAAGCATCGCTGCATCGAGAGAAAGAGACGTAGAGCCAATTTAATGATTTATGCGTTTTAAATTGGCTAAAACTTCCGCGATGGTGTCTTCCTCTCGGATAAGCGATCGCTGCATCTTATGCATATTCATGAGAATATATGAGCGAGGTCGACTAACAATTTTTTTTTCTTCTGTCGTTTTGTGAATACAGCTGGCGGCGGTGAAAGGCATTAGTCAAGTCGTGATATCCAGGATCGTCATGTGTGCTCCGGGAATGCGTAAGTCGTTAAATAATAAAAAAGCTCAAATGACGAATCCATGTTTGTATATCTTTTATCGTATCATTGACAGTGTTGTTACCGCCCTTGATGGAGAGCCTCGAGAAGAAAGCTTGGATGCAGCGAATCAAATTTCTTCACGCACCTTTCCAAGTACTCATGTGCGGCGTCTCGTAAGTGCCTTTTACTTTTTATATCGTCGTTATCTTATATACCCGGGTCATTCGAGAATGCACGACTTATTAGTAGAAAACTCGATACGAGCTGAATGAAGAACAAAAAAAAATATTTAATTTGTAAATTTTAGATTGACGCTTATGGTACCGACAGCTTGCGCGCTATTCCCTCAAAACTGGTAAATATCCGATCATTGACCAATTAGCCTTTACTTTTTTTTTTCATTTTTTTACTTTCACTCAGAAAAATTGATAAAAAAAATATATAAATTACAGTTCGATTTCCACGAAAACCCTGCAAAAATATGAACCGGAAAACTATGAAATACTGCAGGCTAACTGCAAAGGAAGAAAAGTTCCAGAGTATCTGTACTTTAATAAGGGCCTATAAACTCTAAGACTTTATAAGATTGTTTTTTTGATCTATAAAGAAAAAAGAATAAGAGAAGCAACACAAAAGAAGCAATGTAAAATAATTATTTTTAGGATTATGTTAATAGAAATACGTAATATGTCTATTTTTATGTCACAAGACAGTGTAAAACAATTACTATGCTAATGATTTGATAAGAATATGTGAGAGAGGAGATAAAAGAGAACTGTGTAATCACATTTGATATGTGGTTTATGTGTAGAACAAAGGTGTAAGTTACTTTCAAATTATATTGTTATTTGTTGCTCTGGTCTTCCATTTTTTTATGGATGTAGACAATAATAATGTTAATAAGCAGTTGTGATTTAAAAATAAATATTGAGAATTTCACTGCACAATCATATTGTATTTGTGCACTAAGTAACAAACAATGCTTCATCCTATTTTAATTGTTTGTTTTAAAGATTGCTATTATGGCATGATTGTTCAGAATTTCGTTAATAAAAATCTAAGTTATTAAAATGATAAAAGCCATTTTCTTAATCTAAAAAACCATTAGGGCTTTATTTATAATTGTAACATTTTTCAACAATAGTTCTTACTTTTGTAACTTATTCAAAATTGTAGATGTAATTCTTATAATGTAATGTTTGCTCGAGGATGCGATGCTTGGGGTGTACCACCAGGGACGTATCCTATGCGTTCTTGAATTTCAGCCTGTGTTGTTTTTCCTCCCCACGGAGGTGGACAAGTTTCTGTTTTATCAGAGCTTTTCTTTGTGTCTTTTTCTTTTTTCATGGCTTCATATTCAGCCAAGTCATCGAGTCTTAAATCAATTCTTGTTGGACTTCTACGGATCATTTTTCTGGAATTTCAAAACCACTTGAACAATATAATTTTTCCTAATTTCAACCTTAATATATAATTATCTATGAGCAATTTATTATCATTTTATTTTCAAAATCAAAAAAATTAAAGTGAACAAGCAATTGGAATGCACCTTGTCAAGGCAATTCTAACCAATAAGTTCACATGCAATGGAAGTTTACACTGATATATTTCTGAAAGTGAGAATTAACATCCTCTGATTTCATGCAAATTTAACGAAACGCATCACCAAATGTAACATTAGTGCACCGGTTTGGGTAAAAACTTATTCATACTAACCGTTATTTGTGAAATTGACAGGCATGCAGCAACAAAAACAATATTCAAAACAAACAGCTCCTAATACTATACACGGCTCACTGTAGTTTACTGTGTATAGTAACATGCAGCGAAAGATAGAGTGAGAGAGAGAGAGAGAGAAAGAGCCTATTGTGCTTTTTATGTTGCTCGTGCGTCTGTGACGCCGGTAAAGTGCTTGACGCGCAGCGCCAAAACTCAAAAATGACGCTGCGAGCCCGTTTGTAAACACAAAGAATCAACAAAAACTCCTATTTTAAACTTTTCGAGTTTTATTGAAAAAAAGTCTATCGTATGAATCGGAGCTCGTTTCGTACGATCGCCTGAACTTTCGAAACGAATTAATTTTTAATTGTTCCGAAGCGTCAAGCTTATTCATCGAAGCCAAGCTCATTAAACAGCGAATTCGCGCGGAGACGACTCCGAATTCGAATTCAATTCTCGATGGCAGGCTCCGCGCGTTGACATAAGGGCGAGTTCCGGAGCATAAGCAAGCCGGGGCGCAAGTTGTCAGGCCAGACGGGCGGCAAATTGGCGAACGCGACGTTCACGAGCATCGCCGTCGGTCGCTGCCTATCCGTCCTGCAACTGCAACGAGAGTCGCGCCGTATACGACGATCGAGCTGCATTGCACAGGGCACAGCACGAGCGCATACACGAATATAGGAGTTGTGTCGCGCCGCTGCTGCTGCCTCCCAACGAGCGAGCTGCACGCCTGGCTTGCTGCTCCGTTGCTGCGGCTGGTCGCGCGCTCAGCCGCACGAGGTCCCCGCGCGGCTTCCTCGGCTCGTGGTGCACGTCGCGATCGTCGTGTATGCCAGGCGCTCTCGCTCGGGCAGCGCAGGCAGCACAGGCCGCCGCGAGCGCAGACACACCACACACAGTTGCGCGAGGCCTCTACCTATACATCTATATACTCGGCTTCGTACACGCTCGTATACATGTATAGCGTACACCATTTCTCTGTGCAACAATAATCATCATCATAATCGCCCAATCTCAAAGTGTACAGCAAGCCAGGCTGGAGCGTCGTCCCTCCGACCGGGCGCCCCACAAGGAGGCAGCTACGGAGCCGTCTGCGTCGCTGGGCCCAGAGCTCAGCAGAGGCCAGCCAGGATGCTCTACCTCGAGGATTATGTCGAGAGTAAGTCCCCTGCTTACATACACGTATAACGCGAAACCCGAGTCGAACCTATTCGTTGCCCGCACGCACACACACACGCGCGCACACGAACGCGCGCGCAAGCACACGTACTGCCAGCGCATAGGACGGCGCACGCCAGCCTCGTGCGTGTGTGCGCGTACGTGTGTCAGCGCGTCTGGCCAGCGAGCCTGTGTGTGTGCGCCGTTTGGCGCCTCCGTCGAACATAACCTAGTCGAGTTCGATGCACCGACACAATGATGCTTTTATGATTTTTTCCATGTTTTACGGCTTTACGGCCTGGCCGAGGGCCGAACCGTTACCTCCAGGGAGCTTGAACTCGATCTACGCTCTCTCGCTCGACCGAAAACGCGAGAGCTTGTTTAAGCTCGAGGTCTCCATGCTCATGAATTTTAGGTTAGCTTTTCGAGGGACGTCAAACCCAAACAAGAGCTTTTTGTTATTTATAAAACTCAGGATGACACTTCTTTGTTGACATACAATATGACCTATTAAGCAATCTAGAGATATCATTGAACCATCAGATGACTCTACATCAATTCAATTCCCTTTCTATTTATCATATTATTGCAATGTTTTTATGCTAAAACACATGTATTTTTCAGTGATCGAGCACCTGCCTCAAGAATTGAGGGACAGGTTCACAGAGCTCAGAGAAATGGATTTAAGTGTACAAAGTAAGAAAATCTTCTTTATTATTATTGTAGACACTTTTCATTGAAAAAATTATGTTACATTAAATCTGTGACTTGCATTTACTTTAAATGGTTGTTGACGAGTATTGTCATTATTTATTTCTGATGATCTTGTCATTTCATCAGTTGATGCCATTGTGTTGAACTAATGATTTGAAAAAAAAGAGGTTTTAATGTTATAATAATTGATTATCATTCATATATTGCAATAAATAATACTACAAAAATCAATAGTTCAACATGAGTCAGTACAAAGTTTGTTACTTTTGCTTCATTATACTGAAATATTTTTCAAAGTAAGATGTTATCATATTTATTTATTACAACTTATATTTCTTTTCAGATTCTGTGGATAGCATAGAAAAGAAAGTTAAAATATTCTTTTCCAATGCCAAAAAAATGAAAGCAGATGACAAAGATGCAGAGTATCATGAAATACGAAAAGAGTATTACAAAACATTAGAAGATGCTGATGAAAAAGTGAATCTTGCAAATCAAATGCATGATTTAGTAGATAAGTATTTACGAAGACTCGACCAAGAACTAGACAAGTTCAAGGGAGAGTTGGAAGCTGATAACAAAGGTATAACTGAAATCCTAGAAAAACGATCCCTAGAATTAGATCAGCCTTCATCCGCAAATATCAGTAGCAGTCAGAAAGAAAATCGTTATAGCTTTTCTTCAACGAGCAGAGCTCGTGATAATCACACTCATGGTATGTATATTGAAAAATTGTTGTCTTAGTATTGCGAGCTCAAAAATTGATGTAGGAAGTATTTCTTGGCACATCAATTCTTATAATCAGTAATTCCATTAAGTTGTTCTAACAACGTTGTATTTTTTCCACAGCGCGAGCCGATAAACGTCGTGACTCGAATGCTTCGACAGCTTCACAAGATCACCCGAAACGAATAGCAATGGAAAAACTCGCGGTGGCTCCGAGTTCGTCGCAAAGTGCTCTATGCAACATACCGGAGAGCAGGCCAGCGTCCGCAAATTCAGCGCCGCTGATAGCACAGCCGACGGCGATACCCGCCACGGCTTCGACACCATCGTCGGCCGCGGCATTAGCAAATTCAGTGGGTAGTGGTAGTGTTAGTTATAGTCTTGGACATATAGGTGCTGGCGGAAATGCAATTGCCGCCGCTGCATCGCAAGCTATTGCCGCTACGCAACAAATGCAACAAGGCAGAAGGACTGCAAGTTTAAAAGCCAGTTATGAGGCGATAAATACAGGTGGTGTTCATGCTGCTGAATTCAGCAGAGAATTAGCTGGTGCTGCACAGACGGCTATTGCTGCTATTCAAGAATCATCAAAGAAAAACAAAAAGTATAATTCAAACTTTTTATTGTACTTAATAGTTAAGTGACTCTTTAAAAATAAGTTTCTGAACGTTAACAAAGAGTTCAACAAGCCCCTGTTTTTAAATTTCCTTTTTTTTTTAGTTTATTTCTGGTTTTTGGGTAACTTTCGAAACAGGACCAATTACGTTTTTGATTTCAGTTCGAAATATATTCCGGGACGAGGAAAACCTGCTGTATCAGCGTCTCTTCGAAGGTATATTGAAAAGGGTCCTTACACGGTGAAAAAAGAGAAAACTCTTGATAACTAAACATTTATATGTTGAACTCTTGATCGTGTGATGAATCCCTTGTGAGAAATAATCTCTCAATTGGTGATAATGCGTTAACAATGCATTTATATATGTTTTAATCATCGTTTTCCATTCTTTTTCACCCAAGTATTGTTGTAATCATCTATTTCTGAACCTTATGATTTTCTTGAACATCCATAAAAACATATAGTCTTTGTAGATATGAAATAATCTTAACAGTGTTTATTACTTTCCTCAGACGCATGACGGCCATGTCCAACTCGAACGTCTTATCGTCCGCTGTTCAGACGCAGTCGCATACGCAACAAACACATCATCATCATCAGCACACGAATCATCCGTCACAGCATCACGCACAGCAGCATCACACGCACGCGCATCAGCAGCAACATCAAGTGCAGCAACAACAATCGTATCTACACCAGCAATCGCATCATCAATCGTTATCTGGTAACGCGACTGGTGGCTTGGTGAACGCATCCAATCAAGCGAACACGAATTCGACGACGCAGACGACTGTGCAAGTGTCGCAGGCCGTCGCTGACGTTGAAAATGCTGAATGGACTTTCGATCCAAATGAGCCGCGATATTGCATTTGCAACCAAGTGTCTTACGGTGACATGGTTGCTTGTGATAATTCTGATGTAAGTCGCAAGTCATGGCTCGTTGAATTTAACAATAATTTATGTACATTGTTCTACGGGATCTATGTGTCGTTTTTTTAGTGCCCCTTCGAGTGGTTCCATTATCCATGTGTCAACATCACAGCACCGCCTAAAGGAAAATGGTACTGTCCTCAATGTACAACGTCGATGAAACGTCGGGGAAGCCGCAAAAACTGATCACGACGAGCTCAATGCGTCGAAGACAACGATAAGACGCGCAAACCTCTTGGTAGTCTACTTCGCGCCATGTTTTTTTCTACAACCAATACCGATTAATATGATTTTTAATAAAGCATTCATCGGCAAATTGAAGATGAATGCTGATGAAGAAAAAAATTAAATTAAGCGAGATACGTTTTAAATTGTGCAAGTTCGACGTTATCCAAGACTATCTCTAGTTAGCAACTTTTTTCAAATTTGAAGAAAAGTAGAAACGAAGTTTAAAGATTCGAGCGGATTTCGATGAATTAATTTTCCGCTTCGACTTTTCTATCAAGCCTATTTTACTTTTAATTTGTATAATGTAATTACAAGTGGCGTAGTGACTAAATTTATCAGCTTATGCGACCATGGTTATGTCGTATGTGAGATTTATCCGAGGAATCTGAGAATCAACCGATCTTTTCTTCTTTTTTATATTAGTGTTGTGATAGATGATTATAAAGACGATGACGATAACAAGAGTATGTATTGTGGAGTTTTATCTGACAATCAGGCAGGTGAAACTTAATTTAATTTAGGATCCGTAATCTTGGTTCCGTATTGGCTTCAATTTTGACAAAATGGTGATAATTTTTGTATTAATCGCATACAGTTGAGACTGAGTGATATTAAGCATTCTCCGGTTACATGATAAAAAAACGAGCCTGATTGTTGCCAAAAGATTTTTTATAAATAATATCAAATCTTTGTAGATAGCCTTGCAATAAATTGTTTCTTTTTGTACAGTTATTAGTGAAATAAGTGCGAGTGATCACAAAGTTTGTACTGGTACTTTTTGCGTACCATAATACCGAGCCATGATTTTTTTGTTGTGATTGGTTATCCAGATTCGCAGGTGATTTCACGAATCGGCGTGTGAATGAGCTCAGTTAGTTCCCTTGTATTCGATCTCGACTTTGATCGTTTATTGCAAGCTTAGTTTTTGAAATTGTAAATTCACTGCGAGATTCTTATCAACGAAAGGACCTACTGTTAAATTATAGTTACATATTACTATTGTTAAATTAGAATCAATTGTATTCTAAGGTTCACAAGAATGTCAACCCTTTTCAAGGGCGATTCAACGCTCATTAATTGCGTAGAATCATACGAAATAGTCTTGTAAAAATACTTGAATTCATAGCTTTCATAACTCATACTAAAATCTCATCTCATAGAGTGGTGGGTTCTTTTGTTGGGAATTAAATAGTAAGAATGGTAAGTTTCGAGTGTGTGTGGTTCAGCGTAAGTTGAGCGCTGCTTTCAATTGTAAAATACCGTATAAAATAAACGAACTTCCAATATTGATCTTCTAAGTGTGCGCGTGTGCCGTATGCGAGTGAGAACAAAACTTGTAAAATAAAAGTAATGTATGCGTATGATGTTCGTAACGTTATGTGAGTAAATTGTGAGTCACTTTTTTTGAAAAATCGAACGCTTATAGCGAGTAAACAATAATTAAAACTAAATAATAATTCTAATTATAATGAAATAAACTAAGATTCTAAATACGCTTTTTCGTGGAGAGAGTAATGATAGGAAGGAAAGTCATTAAAAATTTATGAATTAACGTATTGTGTACATTGTACTGATTGACTTTAAACAGTCAAATGCAGAATAAATAAATTGCAAAAGAAGGAGAGGTGATCAAAAATCTATATTCGTTTGTTTTTATTTTATTCATCCGTTCGTTTACAAATATTTAGGTTTGGTTTTAGGCAATGAAGGAGTCGTGCAATGCTGTTCATCCTTGTGTACATCAAAAGTGTCTAATACCACGTGCGTTTTAAAAAAACTTATATTAGTTACTGATTCATTTTTCTGCATTCATAAACATACTTTTCATTTTAAAGACAAATTTAAATGCAAAGTCCGGCCAGATTTGTACCAGCATGACCCAAATATTTTCAAAAAATTGTCAACATATCAAAAAAGTTTTACTGATTATAAATTAAAGAAGCCGTTTGAGTTTTATGGACAATGGGATACTATTTCTAAATCTAAATTTACGATATTACAACTTCTACAAAGTTTTAGTGAAGATCCACCTGTAGACTTGAGATACGATATGACAACAACAGGTAACTGACCAATATTAAATTTATTTTCGAAGTAGTTAATAAGTATTTACTGAGCTTCCTTAAATTTGAAACACAACAATACCCAGGACTAACATACCGGAATCCTAAGGATTTGTCAGGAGCAAATTTAATAAAAAATTACTCTACTGAAAGTGAAAATGTCAATAGAATCATATCAGCTGAAAATGAAAAATGTCAAAGCACAAAAACCCTTGGCCAATCTATTAGTACAACGCACAAACATTACGTGGATCATAGTGAAGACATGAAAAATGGCATCGCTAAAAAAGACGTTATAACTTACTATAATGACAAAGGAAAAAATCAAACACCATTGATAACGGGGAAAAAATATTTTAACGTGCCTCGAAGAACTTATTTCAAGGTACCCTTTTTCGGAGATGTAAGTACTTACGGTGATGACTATCGTGGGCGTAAGTGATTCATCGTGAGATATCGATTTGATACTTACTCACTCTATTTCGAAAAAATTCGAATAAAATAAATTCTTTGTAAGTATAATGAATGGTTTAAATAAAAATGAATGAGGTTGATTATCATATTCTTTATGGCAAGATTTAAACTTTATTGTTTTTAATATATAAAATAAATTTTTTAACTTTTTTCACCGACATCTTATGTTTAAAAGAATTTACTTTCCTTAATATTTATGACTAAATTTATTTCGAACATATTTTACGTATTTGTTGACAAGTCATGTACAATCGTGTATAGGTACATTTAACAAATGTAAAAAACAGATGATTGTTATTTATTGTAAATAAAAAAAAATTGTTTAGATTTTTAATAGAATGGTCGCTAGAAAAAACTATGTAATTTTGATCATATCTCATGGCAGATTCCACTTTAAAAGTCATGGTTTATCAACATTAATTGTAGACTTAGATTATCGTAACTTTTTACAATCTCATCACGCTCATGTCTATTAATATATATAAAATATATATATAACTTTTTTATAAAAATATATAAATAATCTTTCTTGCAGTTTAAATTTTACAAAAATAATCTCATAGCATTCGCAAATCGAACATCATTGACTTTCCACGTTGAAATCTTTGCCGCGAAACAATCCGCTCTTCTGACGATCGAGCAGCAAGGAAGCCTCGCACATGATTTTGGCACTGGTCCTCACCAGAAACAGCAGCTGATACTCGTCCAGAAGGCTCAGCTGGCTTCGAGCTCGCATAACCAGGGCCTGAAGCACGGTTGCCCGTTCCAGGTCCAACCATCTTTGCAGGGCTGTTTCGCGCTCTCGCGGTCCACCAAGAGTTGCGTCGGCTGGACCCCACAGCGAAAACTCCAAGATCGATTTGACCTGTATGGTTATCAAAGTGTCGTTAGTTTATTCGAATGTAAATCTGTAACTATCGAATCTAAAACGAACCGTTTGTCGAATTCTCACCTGTGAAAGGGTAACAGCTCTCTCACGTGTCAGTAGTTCCTGGACAAGAGGCAGTTTACGCGTTAGATTCAAAACATCGAGAGCAGCTAAGGCGCACCGACAAAGCGACGTGCAGCCGTCGTTTTCATTATTTTCAATGTTCAATCTGCAAAATTGATCGTTCATGATTTTATTCTTCGATTATAAGCTTCAAATTTAATCAGTTATATTTTTCGTTACCCTTGGAATAGATAAAGCCTGTAATGTATGTCCTTTTCCTCACGACACAGCACAACATTGTCCAGGCTCTTTGGCGCTTCCTCGATACCTTGAGCTTGCAAACTCTTGAAAGCGCTGACCAATTGTAGCAGTACAAATGCCAGTTCTCTCGTTGCCGCCTCGTCCGAATCGACTTGCAACGAGTCCGCGAAAGTTTTCAGTGTGTGCACTTGAAGACGCGGTAATACCGATATCGTGGCTATTCAAAGAAGAATGCAATTATTTACTTTAGTAATTAAAATTATTGCAACTCATAAAATCCTTGGATAACTTACCCTGAGAGATTTTTCTACCGGATACCTTGGCCAGCTCAATTATATCCTTGCCAACCGTATCGACGAACTCGACGACGGGCGTCAGGTAAAATTCCTTCCTCGAAGCGAGCGGCAGTACAGACTCGAAGGTCACACAGAAACTGATCTGCTGCTCGCTCCACGACGCCGAGGGTACGAAGACTCGACGACCCGTCGCGATGGCGGAGGTCAGATTGTACTTGAAATCTTGAAAACGCAAATTGGCCGTTTTGAGTCCACGCAAACTTAACGGCAGCGAGGGCGTTTTGTTGGTCTGCTCCAAAATCTGCGCCAGAGCCTCGTGATTGGCCACGATCACGGCCCCGTAATTGTCCTCCAAGCTGTGATGAACGATGCTACGGCTGCGTCGCTGTCGCAGCCTTCCCATCAACGGGTCCGCCAAGTCGTCGCTCTCGCCGTTCCGATGATAATAGTCCGTCTCGTTACCGGCGCAGTAGGGCAGCGACGTCGATCTATTGAACAGGCTCTGTTGAAACTTCAGCTCCTTGTTATTGGAGTCGAGCACGCCGCTGTCCGACTGGCGTTTCGTTACGGGATGATTCGCGGCCTGACGTAGCTCGAGACTGGTGTCGTCGCATTCGGAACCACTCGTCAGAATCTACAATGAAAAAATTATACATCGATGAGCGACGTTTCAAGAATGAACTCTAATCCCGATAGATGGAAAGAAAAATGTACCTGAGAATCGGTAACCGACGCAGTTCCATCCCCGTCGACCGATTGGCTTGGCTTGAAGGTTCGGCTGGCTGCGTCCTTGGCGCTGTCCAGCGAGTCGTTGCTCTTGATCGAGGCCTGATCCCTCAGACTGGACGTTCTGCGGGGTTTAGCCGGGGCCAGGGCGCTTCTCGACAAACCTGCAACACCACCAGGCTCCGTCGTTGCAGCTCTTGTTGTTGTTGTTGGTGCCTTGCTGGGCTCGTCTTCGCACGCGTAGAAGCGCCACGAGGAAGATCACAAAGGACGAGCGAGAGGAGCGAGCGCACGTTGCATTATATAAAATTGTTAGACAAGCGCGACGACAAGTTAGTAACACATTTTAGATGTGATTTTTTTTTCTTTATTTATTAATAATGATTTTCCCTAACTCTTGGTAATTTTTTAAATTATTTTTTTATCATATAATAATAATTTTATCATGTGATTTAACGGTGATGACCAAATGATTACCCGGTGTGATGAGAGGGTGCAGGGAAGGAAATTTCGCAGGTACTTGAGAAAAAAATAGTAAGCAGTGATCTAGTATACGTTGTAAAAAAAGCGGCCAAAAACGAGACGGAAGCATTTTTCCATTATATTTAACCATTTGTTGCAACAAGAGAACAATAAAACTTCGCAGTACGATAGTATGACAGTCGAGTTTGATTATAAATGCACGCATGCAAAAAGCAAGATAAGGAGGCTTCACTTCCGACAAAAAAACAATGAGCGTACGATAAGGAGCAAGAGAGAGAAAAAGAGAAGCGAAAAATGCTGAGCATACCCGTCGGATGTCGAATCCGTGCAATTGTAATGTGAGGCATGCGCCGTGCATATACATTAGCAAGAAAATCTACATTCAATACGGTGAAAATACATTGAATATGCATAGCGCGATAAAGGTATTTCGATCATTGAAAGCATCAATTATTCATTGTGTAATTCAGTAGCTCGAAAAATTATGAAAAAAAAAGAAAATAAAAAACACACAGCAAAAGCATCTGCAGCAAGCTGACCCACGACACTTGCACGATAATATATGCAGTTGTACTCGGAATTTCGTTTTAATACATTTATACGTTAGTTTCTTTGTGCAGCGTTTTTAATTTTTCGTACATTTTTTGACGTACAATGAAAAGCGCAATTGAAACTTTTAATAAGGTATGACAATTCGGTCACAGAAACAGTTTTATGCTCAGAAAAACATTCATAAAAATTAGCGAAGAAAAATCAAACGGAATTTCATAAAATTTGATTAAAACATAAACTTGTTACTTCTTCGTCTAATGGGTTGGGATTAAAAAATAACATTTACATCAAACAAATCACGAAAGCTCAAAAATAAATTCAAAACTTTTTACCTTACCATTTTATTGGTGATATTATATTATTTGTACCTGATGAATAGTTGAATCAAAGTATGAAAAACAAAGGCAGTAAAAACTATGCTTTTACAAATATACAACAAATATCCATCAAAAAAACAAAACGGTGAAGGCGTGTAATAAATATAATGTAAGAAAAAAACGTTAGGATTCTATTTTTAGTTTAAAAACTTTTATTTCAGAAGAAAAAAAATGCGTATATCAACAGTATCGAATAATTACAACATATTTTGCACCTAAGTTTAATTTCTCATCTTTCTTTTATGTCGCACTGAGGGCTACAAAAAATTTGTTCATCGATTCAGCCATTCTCAAACTTCATCACGCCTTCGTGCAATCCTTTTTTCTCAAAATATATTACTAATAGTATTTCTCTACTTAGTGAACCAATAATTAATTTTAAAAATAAAAAATAAAAAAATGTAAAAGCTAAATTTAAATTTGAGTATACTACTAAAATTTATCAAAGTAGTAAATATATCACAGGAAATTGTTAATCCTCGAAACTCATGAAGGTACGTGTAAATAGTGAAGATAAAAGAGATGGATGGCGTGAGGTAAAGAGGTGATATATATGAAGAAGAAGTAAAAAGTACAGTATGTTCAATCATAATGTAACGCGTTTTCGTAATATATTGGTATTCAAAAACCTCATCGTTTAAAAAATGTAATCAATGTTTGACAAGGTTTTTATTATTTATAAAGATATTGACTGATTCATTTTTTTTTAAAAGTAAGTTACAGCACAAAATTGAATTTTTGTTATTGCGTGAGATGAATTCATTGCAATTATAATAATTTTAATAACGAAGCACAATGAAACACGCATCATTACACCATAAATTGTGTTTTTTTTTCATTATAGTATCTATACACCAAGTGAAAAAGTTTTCATACTTATAATTTTTTCTTGATTTTCTAGTAAACTCATCACGAAAACCTCATAAATAATCGCACAAAAGTCAAATACTTTCATCTTTATATATTGAAAAGTTAAACGATTAAATGAAATGTTGTATGCAACTATTTGTTTTATTGGAGAACTTAAACAATAGAGCATACGTGCGTCAATAAAATTAAAAATAAAACATTCGATTATCTTAAAATTATCAGATAAAAATGTTAAATATGTGTTTCAGTTAACAGTGTCTAAAACAAATTACAAATGTCAATTAAGCACCTAAGAACGAAAAATCTTTTTACGGTATCGACGTTTTTTTTTTTCATTAAACGCATTTAATTCTAATGACTACTGTTTTGAAACTGAACGTTACAGAGTACTTATAGTGCTAATTACTTGTAAATCAATTTTTTTAAAGATTTTAAACTAAACGTAAAGTAAAAAGTCAAATTTAAATTGATATTCATACCTATAAATTATGACTTGCATCGCGAATTCAGGTGAGTAAGTCTTTTTTCATTTCACCTTACTCGACTATTATGTTTAATATTGCTGGGTTTTACTATACCTGCGTAATGTAGAAAACGATCGTAACGCCTGGTTTTTTTACTAATATATAATGCATTACAAACTAGAATTCCTATAGCATTGCATCATAAAAGTAACGGTGCCGTAAGTTCAACAATATGCTATAGCAGCACCAAAATGGCATTAATGACGATGCCCGGGCAAAGAGTTTATCCTATATAGCGTATCATGAACGATAGTAATTATAAGTATGCAAAAAAATTTAAACTACGGAACTAATAGACCCTAACGTTATGATGTCAACTTTTTCAGTCGGCGTACTTTTGCTCTTAATATTCTACTCCACAGTAGTTGTAGATAATTCGGTATAAGTATGACAGCAAGGAAAGCAGGTGCGAGTATCGTGTGAGTATGGCTGTTACATTAAAGAGACGTAAAAGTACGTACGTAAATAAGTAATATTAACTAATAATAATAAACTATATTTATATATATAAATCGTATAAAAAAAAGGAATAATATATTTAAGTAGTATAAAATAAATATATATATTTTATGTAAATATATATAGGTATAAATGAATTTCGATGTATATATAAATAACTGTATATTTATATATAAATTTATATATTGGCAGATGGCTAAATATAATAGAGATTTTTTTTATTTGTGTGTGGCTGGCGCGTGAATTAGTTGCACTGAATGGGCCGGAACTTACCGAGATTCGCATAAATCGAATCGGATGCCGATGAACTGGAAGAAGCGGCGGCATTTGGCTGCCAGCTTTTGCCAACCAAAGATTTCGTACTTTGTTGGACCTGTTGCTGTTGTATTGGTTGCTGTTTGGGCGTTGTCGGCGATCGCGACGATTCATCGAGCGACTGAGCTCGCGGCGGCGGTGGTGGCTTGCTCGGACGAGCTGTCGAATGAGAAAAAGAAAAGGAAAAAAATTCAAACGTAGGTATGCACGCGCGAACAAGTACTGCGAATTTAATCGGATAAGGATATAAAAACTTACCGGTGACTTGATGTGGGCTCGACGGATTTGCCTGTGAATAGCCGTTGTTCAGGGCAGAATCCGTCGCCGATTTCACTGGCTCGACGCTCTTATCTTTGATGCTTTTATCGCCGCGCAAGACAACTTGTACTGCCGCCCCGTCCAGTTCTAACGGGTGAATTATTTCCAATCTCGGCTTAGGCTGCGGCGTGCAAGGAATCTCGTCGCTACGCAGGCCGCTCGAGCCAGCAACCGTCATGTCGACGTCCTGTCACGATAATTTTCGTTTTTAAAAATCAATGCGTCCGATGCGATCGGAAGTAAATAAAAATTATGTACAGCTAAGGACAAAAAAAAGCGAGAACGTTTTGGAATTTCTCTACAAGGTACAATGTATCTACTGAGCTCTATAACAAGATAAAAATAAACAAAAAATTAAATAAATAAAATTAAAAAAAAAATTGCTTTTCATGTATAGTTGAGACTCTGTACCATTCTGTACCATTTTGTGTGGGCCTATTCAAGTGTACAGTCGCGATATAGAAAGCTCTTCAAATTTATCTCCTTATCCAAATTACGAAAGACTAAAAATTCCTATACCAAAAGGCAAAGTTCATTGAGTGATGTTTGAATAAAATAATTTATTGGTCTAAAATGTATGTATTTCGTTGACACTGACCTTTTTCGAGCCCATTCTGAGAAATTTCTTTAGCGAGAATTTCGAGCGAGTCTTTTTCTTCTCCTCGGCGATCCTCTCACTGCCACTGCAGACCGTGGCGGGCGCCAAACTATCCTGCGACAGCGAAATGACTCTTCGCGGAACTGGTTCGGGCGGCCTGCAGCTCGTGGGATCCGGCGAGTCGTTGACTGCTTTGCGGAACTTGGGACTGCAGCTCGAGGCTCGCTCGCGCTTCTCCTTCTCGCGCACCACCGGACAGCTGTCCGACTTGGACGCGACGGGATTGCGAGCGAACAGACTGGGCGCGGTCGCCTCGGTCGCTTCCTGAACACCGGCCGCCGCGTGAGTCGGCGAGGTGGTCGTCGGTGGCTGGGGTGCCTGTCGTCGCTTCGAGACCAGACGGCTCGGCTGATCGCTCGAGGACGAGGCTTCGCTGTCGTCGTCCTCGACTTCGGCCTCCTCGTCGACCTGCTGCTGATGACTCCTCTCGCTGAATTTTTCAACCGCGGACGTTCTGGTGTTTGCCATCGACTCACCGCCGCAGAGCTGACTCTCGCTCTGAGCTTTTTGGCTCAATCTGAATTCGTAGGCACGACTCTCGATCAGCAACGAGGCCAAACTCGAACCCACGGGTTTTACGCTCGGCAATAAAGAGGGTTTCTGTGGCACCATTGGTTTCGACGTTTTCACACTTTCCACCGTCGTTGTCGTCATGCCGTGCAAAAAAGACGCTCTCGGCTCCGACGACAGACGCTTGTACGAGGCGTCCATCGGTGGTGGCGGGCTCTTCGGTAAAGCAGGTGGATCGGCAACGATCTCCTCGTCAGCTTTACCGTCCGGTTCTCCGGCAGATTCCCGACTCTGCTGCTGCTTCTCGGGTAATTTGTTGGCGTCCGTCGCCGCCTCGCCCTCGACTTTGCGCTCGGTCAAATCGATCTGCCTGAACGTACTTTTGTAAATCTCTTTCGTGACCGATGTCGTCGTCGTCGTCGACGCGATCGAATTGAGCTTCAGCTCGACTCCGTTGCCATTCGTAATTTCCAGGTTCTTCTGGTTCTTGGCGGTGTTCTGATCGGCGCTCGTCGCGACGAGTCTCGGCTTCTCGTTGTCGGTTTTCTTGATGGCCGGCGTCCGCGCTATGTTGGTGGTTCGTTTCTGCTCTAGCTGCTGCTTCTTCTGGGAATCGAGAATGTTGGTCGGCAGTACCGTGGACGTGATCAGAGGCATATCGACGATTTTCCCGAGACTCGGTGTCGTCAGGGTTGCCTTCAACAGCGGCGATGGCTTGGTCTCGCTCACCGAGGACTTGTTGCTGCTCTCGGCCGGGGACTTTTTGATCGGTTTGATTTCGGATTTGAACGTTTCGATGCTTTTCGTTTGTTGCACGGATTTGATGGTCGTCGAAGCAGTCGTCGTCACCGCTGGTGGTGTAGTCGTCGTCGATACTTTAGGTTTGTTCAAATCGGGCGATGTTTTTTTGTCAGCCGGTCTTCTGCAAAAAGCAATGAAAAAACACACAAGTGCGTAGAATCGAATCTATCGCAATAAATTAAGTAAAACTCCAATTATTGGTGTGTTATACTCACTTGGCCGTGGGCATGCTGTCGTCGCCGCCGAAAGGCTTGACGCTGACCAAGAGCGTCGTCTTCTTGCCCTCGTTGTCCTTCTGCGCGCGGCCCAGCATCAGCGTCGTGAACGCCTTCGTCTGAGCCTTGGCCTGTTCGATCGAGGCGCTGAGATTGGCCGTGACCGTGTTGAAGTTGGTATTGGCTCGGGTCAAGTTGCCCAGGGCTCGCTCCTCCTCGCTGTCGGGCAGCTCGTCGGGGTCGATGCTGCTGTCCGGATCGTCGCCGTAGGCGCTGTGGTCGTTGCTGTCGCCGTCGTCGACGAGGTCGAAATCGTCGCCGCCGTCGTAGCCGATGATCTCCGTGAGCGACTCCGGGAACGCGACGTTCTTGCGCTTCTTCGCATCGGGGCTGCTGCTGCTGCTCGACTTGAGCCTCAGAATGCCCTGGTAACCACAATGAGAAATTTTTTACGTTAAATTGGATCGTTTCGCTGCAACAAATGGCAACAATGGAAGCGAATAATTGGGTTTCCCTTTCAGCGCAGATATCGCCAAAGGAGAAGAGTTCGTTACACTCGGAGCGAAAAAAGAAAAAGAAAATTCGTGCCAATTTTCGAGCCTCAGTCAATGAGCTCATTAAAGCAGGCAGTAGAAAGCGATAGTGACGATTAGAGAAAAGTAGACGAGTAGACGCGGCATCCGACGTTTGTAATTTCGGTCCATTAACGTTTGTATGCCGAGAGAGCGGCGGCGAGCGGTATCGATAATTATAAGCGCTTAGTGACATTAAGGAAGTCGTTCGCGACGCCAAGTTACACTTGCGCAACGGTAGATCCGAGTAAAATTAGGCCTGCTGTAACTCATCGAGCTCGGTATTGATAATCCATCTCTAACGCGTTTCCTTGAAACGTAAAACAATGATAAAAAATCTTTCTTCCGATGAATGAAGATACGGCAATATCAATCACACATAGAATCATAGAGTTTCGGCTTTCTCTGAACGAAAGAAGAAAAAATAATTTCACTGTCAGTTTCATTTTTACGAACAGTACTTTTTTCTCCGCATGGACGATACGGGCACAGTGTGGTATTTATAAAAAAAGCACTGACAGTTTAAATTATTTTTTCATTTATCAATGCCAACACATGCACGCGTTTTATAGCTTTTGAGAAGAACTCGACGCTACGTATTACGAGTGCATACAGCGTACGATTTAAACATTATTTATTTGCTTATAAAGATAAGAGAATCTCAAAAGCGTCTATCAGTTGTTATTATCCGCTCGTCCTATATACTACTAAAAATTTCAGTCGTTTACAGATATACTCGTTTAGTACGTGTGTATCAAATAAATATTCAAAGTCTTTGCTTTTTTCATCGATACTTCCAATCAAATACATTTGGAAAAATTTTAAACGAACTCGGACGAAAAAAATGCAAATAATCGCTCTTCCTCTCTTCCTCTCTCTCTCTCTCTTTTTATTTCTCTATTAGTGAGCTGTCATTACTCAAAAATCCTACAAAAATCGTGGGAAATTCATATGTATTTCATTGATATTATAATTCGTGATCCATACATGGCGATAATTCAGAATTTTCTGGCTTAGTGTCAGGGACGATCTCACGATTTTCCCCGAGTTTATCATAAACTTAGTCAGATTACTCGGAAGATATTCTCCCGATATTTAACCAACTGAACTAACCGCGTCGATGAATAATACCGAGACAGATAGAGAGAGAGAGAGAGAGAAAGAGAGACACGATGACACAGTCAGTCATGTGTGGCGCGCGCGGCTCTCTCGCATTATAAACACCGAATGTATATCTTCGTACGTGAACTTATATGAGATGTAGGGGACCATGAACATTTTAGCATGTTGTAATATTCAGCTTTTGTATGCATTGTTTGATCATCGCACGGACAATGCGTACACGGCTTCAAGGTTAGCACCTTTCACGCATTTGCCAAAAGCGCAAAGGAAAAAACTCTCCTCCGCTCTCTCATGTATATTCGTGGCTTTCTTTTCCGATATATTAGCATGTTTTTCAGCAGTAGCGGCAGCAGCTGCATTGTATGCAGCAGCGCATAATATGTGTACAAGCGCGCACCGAAGCAATGACCTCGTTTCAATTGGTATACAACTCGTTTCCGCGTCCTAACGTGTATAATATATATGTACGCGCGCGTACTTCAAGGATAACCCAGTTTTTTACACCATGCAAAGTTGGTGGCACGCGATTCGTCGGCAAGGTCGACAACCTCCAAAAAAAAAAGTAAAAAGGATTGCTCACCTGGACTTTGTGGGCGACGCGTTTAACGTTGTTGGTGGTTCGAGACATCAGAGGCCTGATGGTCTCCTGCTTGGCCGCGTGCTCCTCCCGCGACTTGAAGCAGTTCGAGCAGAGCTCTTTCTTCCAAGCATTCTGCACAAAGTGCTTGCACTGCGTCGTCGACATCCTGATTTTCCGTTCGTGTGTTTGCGTTTTCCTTTGATTCGTTCGAGTTCACAGAGTCATATCGACAGCTCTCTTTTTCTGAAACAAATGATAAACGCGGAACGATTATTGTAGCAATTTTTCACTTGGATTACTGCAGAAAATTATCATAAAGCTGTAATCGGATATATCGAGACTCGCCGAGAAATACTCGATCGCCTTATTAGAGAGATAAATCGTTTCAGCGGCACACAGATGTGTATTGCATCATTCGGCCGACTGAAATACCAACAATAGCCCCATGCCTCTCGCTTTTTCTAATCGAGTAATGGTACACATGTAGAAGCGAATGGCACGGCGCGATGCAGGTGTAAATTAGACTCAGCGGGATGTAAATCCACGTCGAGAATTTGCGAGTGTATATTTGCTCGTGAAATAGATACGCGAAATGAATGGGGAAAATGGCGCATAACTATCGGGTATTATCGGGACCCCTGTGAATTTATACATCTAGATAGTGTAATAAAATACAAATTTCCAATAACACGAGAGCAAATTTCTTTCGTTGGTGCCCATGTACATCTTGTATCATGTGTAAGAAAAAATCGACTTTTTTTCGAGTACGAAATGAAGCGGGTTACTTGCGAAGGAAGCAGAGGCAATATAATTTCTTTGACAAGCAAAAGATTTGTGGATGTATAGAAAATTTTTCCGCGATAGGCGATCGATAGCAGCTCCAAAGATACACCATACAGGCAATCGTTCTTCCCCTCTATGTACCTGCCACTGTATGCTTCACTCGGGAAATATAGCTTTAGTGTTTCAGTTTTACAATTAGACCGTAAGTAGTACGTATGCGCCGGGCCCGAGAATAATTATCCTGACGTAATCGCGTTGCGATCGCGAGCCTACATTAATGCAATAATCGCTTCATTCGTTGTTTTGCCCCCCTTCGAGGCATTGGGAAATTCGTCGATACAGTTCAGAGCTATTACTCGGGGAAGCTACGATCGAAAGAAAGTTACCTGCAAAAAATTCACGCTACTTCTTGTTTTTGACTGGTATACTTAAATGTGCGTACACTAGTATACACGGACTATTTTCATTCAGAATTATAGGCACGTATTGTATCGCGCGCGATCGAGAGTCAAAACACAACTACTATATAGCGCTTAGCCGCGGTCATCTGTCGAGCAATTCGTACGACGAGATAGCGAGAGTTAGATTTTCGGGGAAAATTTTCGCCAAAACGGAGCGACTCGTGTTTACGTAAACAGAGAGGCCCGCACGGGCCAGTTGTCGCCGAGCCGTTGAATCGTTCGCTTCGAGCAACGATTTATAACGTGTACGTATAAAATTCGGAAAACGTCTAGGCGCGCCTAGACGGAAAATCGTTGAAAAAAATTCTCTGTCCACGAGCGACATGGCACCACCGCCATTGCAAAGGTTCCAAGCATCTTTGGATTATTCCTTGCTCGGTTCGGTCGGTCTAGATACTCAGCCTGCCTTCGGTCTAGACCCCAACGGTAACTTTGTGGGAAGCGAGGGTACGAGAGCCAATATCACTGCGATTTTGGACGGACATCATTGGAATGTCACGATCGCCTTGACTGAGAACGGCACAAATACCAATTATACCAATCGCATCCATATTAATGAATTACCCACAGACTTCAGACAAACTCTGATGAACTTGAGGTTCAGTCTACAACCAATTGGCAGCAACAACGACACCAATAATAACATCAGCGACAGCAGCAGTGATAGCAGTAGTAGCGATAGCAGCAGCAACAGCAGTAGCAGCCGCTTCAGTAGCAGCAGCAGCTTCAGTAGCAATAGCAGCAGCACTAGTGACACTAGTAGCTTCAGTGGCAACAGTAGCTCCGGCATCTTCAGTAGAATGAGCAACATTGACAGCTTCTTCAGCCGCAGAAGCAGCAGCAGCAGCAACAGCAGCAACAGCAGCAACAGCAGCAGCAGCAGCAGCAGTGGTAGCAGTGTAAGCAGCATTGATCAGGTCGGACCCTTGCTCGCGCATGCCTTGTACATGAGGCAGCTCGGGAACAAGAAAAAACGATGCAACCACGGAGAAGGCAGTTTCTGCTCAAGTAAGTACATCGGACAACACATTCAAATACGTTTATCCTTTTGAACTTTGAAGGTTGCAACTGTACACATAATGTAAAGGTAGCAGACGACATTATTTTGAATCGTGCTTTGTTTGTTTCAGAATGCCACATTCGCAAGCGTCACACGAGTCGCTGGTGGTACAGACACGGCAGTAAAAAATAAATGCGTTTCTTGCCGGATAATTTCTCATCTGATCGTCGTCCATCTTCGTCCAGAGAGGTTTTGCTATTTTTGTAATTTATTACATTGTTGTGATTTCGCATTTACCAGCATTGCGTAATTTTTTTGTTTATTTTTTTTTAATTTAATTACCATATGGCTATATTCAACTAGAATTATAAATAGCTATCGTGTAGGATTAATTGTTGTTTAACGATGCCTGATTTTTTATTTAATTTTTTTTTAGTTAATCATACAAATCAAATTTTTTATATCTTTATTTTTTTTGTCTTTAGAATGGATTTACGTGTATTAGTTCTTGTTATTGTCTAACAATTTGTTAACGTTTCAGAGTAAGTTTGAAAAACCCAAAAACGAACTGTTTATTTTGCAAATTGTAAAATTTCAAATAAGATGCAACATTTTATAAAAAAAAACATCTTGACAAGTCTTAAGCGTGTCCCGACTCATTACCAAAAAACCCACCCATTCTCGGAGTCCTTGGCTCAAAGCTAAACTTTTCACCGATAGAGAGAGACAATGATAAAAAAAGTCAACCGACTACTCCTCAAGAGAGAAGCCACATTGCTAATCCTCGAGAGATCACTGCCAAGTGCTTGGCGAGGCTATCGTGGTGATTGGTTTTGAGGATCGTTCAAATTAACAACTTCGAAGAACGTCGTCGTCATTGATGATACTTTAAAACAATATAATACAACGACAAACGTTTATCTAACGGATTTATTCTCTTTTTTTTGCGTGAACTGACTTACGGATTATTCAATTAGAGTCAATCCTTTAATTTTTGATACTCGATCGGTATGTCGAACAGCTTCAAGATAAACATTCAGCTGACGATTTTCTAGTTGAACTGCAGTTCTCGAATACCACGCGTTCACCGTTAAGAATTAAATCAATGCCGCTATGAATAAATTATTTTGGATTGAGTTTTTTTTTTCTTAATAAGACAATTCGGAAAGTATATACGTAATCGCAATCTCGGAGCTCGCGTGTACTTACACTCATCGTGAAAAATGCAAGGCGAAAGAGCAACCGGCAGTGGAGGGGGGACCGGCGAAAACGGTAAAACGGCAAAGTTAGCCTTTTTTTCGAATAACCGTTAAGTGCAGGCAAAGAGAGAGAGAGAGAGCCGCAAGGAATTGATAGAGTTTGTATGTATGTGTGCGTGTGCTTGAGCAAGCTCAAGTGCATTACTGGGCCCTTACATACGATAGCAATCGGAATCATATACACGACATCACGAGCATCGAGTCAATTTTCTTTGGCGTAAGATCAAATGATATTCATTGGGTCGCGAGCGGGCGCACATATGTATTCTATTTACCATGGGCTCCGTTATCATCGACGACGACGACGACGACATGCGGCGTCCTAGGAGTGCATTGTGAGAGGCTTCTCTCTCTTTGATCGTTTAAGACGTGTCGCGTAATTTACTCTCACCCATCGTGCCTTCCGGAGCATTTAACTGTACTATAAGAATGCAATTATGTCATTGTGGCTATGGAGAAGAAAATAATAATAACGCGTACGTTGATAAACAGCTGGCGTGAATCGTGATTACAAGGAGCTAACGCGGCTATGGTATAACTGTAGATTGAAAAAATCTTTAACGGATGGCGCATCGATGACAATCGTTGAAAAGCAGTACCTTTTTTTATTGAAATTCGTTGTTTTTGTCATCCATACAGCTAGCTACGATCGAATTAAACGTTTTACTTTGATCAAACGTACAAAAAAAATACGTAACATCAATTATTCTCTTCTGCATGCGTTACCGGTCAGCTAATAACACGATCTTTTTTTATACGTACACAAGCTGTTCGGGCTATTATTTCGTAGATTTTTTTAACGAGATAACTTTGTTTCGCACCGTCAAGTGATTTACTTGTTTTTTTTTTTTCACTCACTGCTCGATTGTTGAATATACTCGTTAGAAACGAAAAATAAAAAAAATTTGAAATAAAACGACTTATTTGTTAAAGCGCTATAGGTACGATTCGTCAGAACTTGTTTTTCCACTAGGTATAGTCTGAAATCTCCTCATTGGTAGCACTTTGACGATCGGCATCGTTTAATGAATTAGCAGTTTCGGTGACGATCGTCGCGCATAAATTTTGAATCGCGTCCTTGCGTGATTTATTTCCTATTCTTTGGAGAATCGTTTATTAAAAATATTGATACACGGAATTCGCCACTAATTTAAGCACAAATAGTGCTATTCTTTTCTCAGAAACGATAGTATCGTGTTTTATCTCTGGGTCAGAAAATAGAAAAAAAGAATTAAAAAATAAACTTATATTTATTATATTATTATTGTACTAGCTTAGGCGTGAAAAAATCCAGTAGAAAAATGTTTTAACGATCCATCGATTAGCATATGAATCAGACTGTGGTCTATGCATGAGCCAGCGGTATTTACATTGTTTGAAACTCCGAACGATTTTAAATGCATAAAAAATATGGACGTACGCTGTGGAGATAATGTACCGCTCCGCGCGAAGAGTCGATATAAGCTAGCTGGAGCGGCTGAAAGGCCACTTAAGTATGTAAGCTACTTTGCGAGCATCGCAAAAAATATACCATGCACGTTTAATTAGAACGAATTTCAACCCCATTCTTTGTATCATTGCAGTTTCTCACGAAGTTTAGTTTCAAGCGCACGTTAGCTTTGGAAGCACACGCGACATTGAAAATAGCCAAAGTGCGCATTCCAGCGCACGTGTAGTTCATCGACTGTTTGGCACCGATCGAAAATCAGCGGATCATTTTCTCCGTCGCTGGAGCCCCACCCGCAAAATGATCCGTTACAAATAGTAGTGGTCTAACTGTAGCACACACATAGAAATGAGCTGCAGCGACGACCACACACAGTTCAGAAAAAATACACTTTTGGCTGCTGCAGTTAGTAAGTACATTGCCGCACTCGGTCATTTTTACGTGACTCAATGAAGAATGTGCGAAATTCCCTCTCGCTGCAGTTTTAAACGTGCATGGTAGTTTTTCGAACGAAGAGCTTCTCTTCTCTTTTTTCGCAGCAGCAGCAACAACAGCATTTATACAGCATACCAAACAACCTTGAAAAGAGATAGCGAGGTCATTAAAATAAAGGGAAAAAGGGTCATACGTGCGCTCGTGCGTTCTTAGCACATACATTATAACGAATGTATCGCGATTCGAAGATCATTTATCTTGCGCTCGTGACAATTAATAATTTTTCGAAGAGATGTACACCCGACGGACATAATATCTGTCCGGACCTTACTTCGCACTAGACATGAAAATTTCTCATAAACGTATAGATAGACTCCGAATCATGAAAACAATTACAGATATTACGTCCGTCTGGTGTACGGGTAAATTAAATCAGACGCATTAAGCACGCTGCGCATCGTACGAGCAGTTCACAGTGCAGCGCGTCGACGACGACGGCGTTTATATATATCCGACGAACAAAAGAAAAATCGCTGATCGCGACCATGGCAATGCGATACCCCAGCGTAACAACAGCGAAATCTAATTATTCTCATCGCTGCGTGGCCCGAGAAAATCGATGTGGATATGTTATATCAGACGCACAAAACAGACGCACGTGTCGGCGTATTTAATGCAATACGAGGAGAAGAAGCCCACTATTATCATCGGAGTGCAAACGCGACACTCGATGCGATAGGTGTATTGTGCGCTTGTGTGCACAGTCTACGTCGCGGACTAACTTATAAAAGTCTCTCTCTCTCCTATCTCTCCTTCTCAAGGCCTCCTAGCCGTGCAGCTCTTCGCGCGCTTCTTGATTATAGTCACCTCGGGGCACGCGCAGGCATGAGTATAGAAGCGTTGAAAATATAAACGACAATCGTTGTTTGTCAATGTGCTGCGGCGCGGCTTGCACCACATTTATCCACATCGATTGTAATGCATGGACTTTCACTCTTTCGTGCTACGAGTGCACGTAAAGTCGATTGCATTTTTTTCTCTCAATTCAATTCAATTCCATTCAATTCAATTTTCAAGTTACACGAAAAGATACACATGAAAAAAAAGAAAGAAAAACAAATTATATAAATAAAAGGTATATCCTCGCCAGAAGGTCCGAGCGTATGTAATTTCGTCTAATGCATGCAAATACGCGGCGCAATCGCGGCTTCTCTCGTTCCCACGACAATGTAGATGTATACCGCGGGGCAATGGGCGCTGTGTATAGAGATCGCATCGCGCAAAAAAGTGTCGTCAATATGTGTGTGTACACAGAAAAGTAGCTATACATAGCGATCGATTACTCGAGTTGTCTGTATTGTAGTATTAAAGTATACATAAAAGAGCTGCCGCTCGCGCGCGCAGGAGGAGGAGGAGGAGGCAATTTACATGTGTTTTCGCGCGCGTAATAAAGGAGAAATCACGCGCGTTCGCTCTCGAAAGTATTTGAAAAAGACTCGCTGCTCCGTACGTTGTGTATGCATGAAAATATTGAAAAACAAGAGCGCGAATACATATGGCGTTGGCTGCGCGCATGCTGCGATCCTTGCCAGGCGAGCATGGCGTGCGCCGAGGTGTGCTGCTGCTGCTGCTACTCGCTCGGCCGCAGACAGTTATTATTTTATTCCTTCATCCGTAAGAAACTCTTATTCTTACATGTATGAATATATATGGCGTATACAGTATGTACTACGTGTTGCTGTTGCCGCCGGCTCAATTACTGGTAATTACTCGGGAGCGGCCTTTCAGCGATAGATGCTGCTGTTGCTGCCGCTCATAGGCATCGTTTTCTGCACACCGAGCGCGTGGATCGCTATATGCACACGTAGTATTGTATATACTGCACGAGTCGCGCACCAAGGGCGTAATTGCGCAGCTCGGCAGCGCGTTAAAAAATCACGTGTACCTGCATTTATACATTTTATATACTGTACGTGGTTGCTATCGAAAAACGGCGACGATGGCGGCTCGCCTTCGTAATAGTCGCACAGATGCGTTGATACATTCGGTGACACAAGAGATGCATTTACAGTTTCTCACGATGAGTTTACCTTAATCCTATATATATGTGCGATGTCGCAACGAGATTCAACCGTGGTCTGCGGCAATCTCGATCGAGCATTTGCTTTGTAGATGTTGCGTTATATTCTTCGAAATGAAAAAAAAAAACGTATACGCGCCTGTGCGTCAAGTTTTACGTGTACCGAGTCTGCAATGCGTTTATATATACCGCGCGCGAGTGTGCGTAATTTGACAGCGGCTTTTATAAGATCGAATCCGCGCCCGAGGACGTGGACAGTCGTATTTTAACGACTCGTGCGGTCTCGCGAAAAAAAAGAAAAGGCTGCGAAAAGCTAGAAGGCTCTCGGTTCGGGAGTTGTAACTCGTTTTTTTTTTCTTCGTTAAGCACGAAATTGAATGATTGCTGCGCAATTAAATAAGTAGTCGTGGCTTGAGTTT